TATTTTCAGCAATTAAAAATCACTTGGTTCTCTGGGACCTGAGCAATTCACAAACTATTAGTTATGTGTGCTAATTATTAATTGTATCATTTTCTGATTACATAATGAAATGTATGATATCTGATTTTGAGAAGCCAGAACCCACCAGATTATGTGTCCATGACATGAAAAGCATCAATAAATTATTCTCCTGCCATGTTTACTTTTTTCCCCATGAAGAAGCTATGTTGATAACGATCAGCACTAGGAGTTGAATTTGATGGTAGGTAGAAAAGAAAGAAAGGAAGAAGAATTAATCAATGGTGCCTATTGCTGTCCCAGTGCTATTCTTGTTAAGCTTCAGCAGGAAGGAAAGGAGTTTTCCTGGGTGCATCAGTTAAAAGGACCAGAACTACTGCTTTCCACACTCCCCTAGGGTCAAGAATGAAGATGTGCCCTCTTGAAGGATGAGGGGTTTAGCCTTGAAGCAAAGGATGCTAAGGTTCATATTTAGGCATATTTAGGCAGAAAACTGTAATTCTATTTTAGGAGATGCAGAGCAGTAATAGCTCACAGCAATTCCCATACTTTTCCTTTGTTTTCAAAATTTTGATTTAGACATCTAAGCACACTTCTGGAAAACAGAAGTAGACTTTGTGAAAATCCTCATAGAAAATCTTTCAGAGATGGGTTTTTATATCTTCAAGCACCCGTTCATATTTACAAAAGAAATGCTCGGGAGAATGTAGGGAGGATGGAGACAAACTTTTCTTGGTGGTGGCCAGCGACAGGACAAGGGATAATAGGAGCAAATTGAAACACAGGAAGTTCCATTTTCATGTGAGGGAGAACTTCTTTACAGTGAGGGTGACAGGACCCTGGAACAGGCTGCCCAGGGAGGCTGTGGAGTCTCCTCTGGAGGTCTTCAAAACCTGCCTGGATGACACCCTGTGTCACATGCTCTGGGTGTTCCTGCTGGAGCAAGAGGCTTGGACTAGATGATCTCTAGATGCTCCTTCCAACCTCGACAATTTTCTGATTCTGTGATTTTATTATCCCCAATCTCACCTTTAAAGAACACACAGTTGGCAAAAAACATCATAGTGCATAGGTGAAAACATGTAACCAAGTCAGCAAATTTTCTATGAGTTTTTCTCTTTATATATTCATTGATTTGCTTTTCACCTGCAGTTGACTTTTGGGAGTCAATAGAAATAGCTTCAGCATCATTCACACGTTTGTCACTGTCCACAGTGAGGTTCAGCTGAGCATAGGCTTGACGTCGATCATCATGATTATTTTTCATAGTGAAAACTATTTGGTCTCTATAGATACTAACCTGGAAACCTAACTAACCTGATCTACTGTTCTGGTTGCCTTTTATATTCATTTATATATTTTTTGCTGTATGTTGGCATATAGTAAAACATTCAAAGAACCTTGGTAATGCTTCCATTCGCCTAATGGTGATTTGTGAAAAACTAAAGAGCACCTTTAAAGATGAAAGCAAAGGTATGTCAGCATTAAAGGAGGACTCTTCCTTCAGGGATCCTCACCAGTACTTTATAAACCTTGCCAATTTTTTTTTTTTTTTGTCATTCCCTCCTAACAGTGACATGCAGAAAGAACAGTATAACACCATGCAAGAACAGAATACGTTATTCATTAGCAATATAATAATAACAAGACTAGTTATTATATTTTAGAAAGAAAAAAAAAAGTGATCATTTTGTAAAGGTCCTAAATTATGCTAAGATTCCATGACAATTCTTGTTTAATGAGGACAAACCAGCATCAGAATTATACGACTCAGCTTTGTCAGGAATTTTCCCTTTTAAACAGGCAGTGTCTTCACTTTCGAAATATGGGCTCCTACATGTGCTTGCATTTAACACTGTCATTAATAGGTCTTTCCAGCAGATATGAATATGGCTATGTTACCCGTCTTTAGTACACTGGCACTGACTGCTGCCTGTTTGATATACTATTTTCCTTGATTTACTTCAAATACATTATTTCTCTGAACTCTCACACCAAGATATGCTTTGTTACTTTTTTTCTTGTCCCTTCTTTTATGATCTTTAGCACTATTCACATTAGCTGTTGGTTTTCGTTCAGTGCCTTCTAAGTTCATGCAGTCTGTAAGCTAGTGATATACGCATCTCCATCCAGGATTAATCCTGCTTTCTGAGCAACTTGCTCATGCCTTTATGCCTTTGTGGATAATTCTTTCCTAGTGATGCCAAGACAACAAAGTGTACTGCTATTCCTGCAATGCAAAGCTCTTCTCTTATTTCAGAGAGCTGTTCAGTCTGTGCTGCTTCTGGTGGACTGGCAGCTCATCTCCCACAGCTGTTCCTCCAAAACAGCCCTTTGGGAAGACAGTTTCCATCTGCAGCCTGGCAGGTTCCTCTGTGTTTGCAAATGTGTAGTCTGAAGGCCACCTGAACACAAGTTTGACATGGGCTAGGAGTGGTCCCTTGGTTCTGGCCAGTGAGTGAGTGCACATGGGGTTGGCCAGGCTGTTCCATGGGATGTGTCTGAGCAGCATCGCCCTGCCACCAAGCTTCTTCATTGCAGCAGAAACCCACTGAAAGCAAGCTCCTTGCCCTGCTGCATTGAGACCTTCTTGTTCATGAAACTCACTGTCACCAGAAAAAAAACAGCAAGTAAGCAAAAACCCAGCAAAAAGAATGAATTAAACAGCCAGTTGAAAGAGGAGACAGTGTCCTGAGCAAACCGTGAGAGCACTGGCTCTATGACAGTCTCAAGGCTGACCTATATCTTCTCTCCCCTGAAAACCTCCCGTGCTCATTAGTTCTCATTACTCACTCCTTTGCACACTTGTTGAAGTGGTACAGAGCCAAGGCCCCTATTCCTGTTTGAAGATGATTCCCTAACAACAACAATTTCAGTTAGGGCTTACTTCAGTAATAATTTAATACTGAAGACAATACTAGTGATAGAGAGCCAGATCTTTATAAAAATCTGTTTGTTTTCTGAGACTAAGCTTTCCAAGAATGAAATATAATTAAGATATATATTTGTCCAGTATTTGGATTTTGGCTTGCTAGTGTTCAATCCTGAAAGCTGATCTAATATTTCTAGGAAGCCAGACATCAAACTCAAAAAGACCAGTCCAGTATGTGTGAACAGATGGCATTTTAAAAAAAGTAAAGGTTTTCAGAGTGAAATAAATGGTTCCTAAATATTAAATAATTAAATTTTGAAGGGGAAAATCTGCTGTTAAGGCATACCGTATGTATTAAAAACATTATATGGAGTGATTGGAATACTCTGCTCTTCTATATTCAAGGAAAATATGTTCAAGATGGAACAAGTATAAAAAAGTGATATTCAGAATATGCACAAAATGAGAAGTGGAAAAGCACCTGAGACTGTTAAGTATGAAACGGCAGAGGCTAAGGGAAGATAAGGTGAAATTTGCATATATAGAGAGGTAAACAGCAGAAAAATAAAAGAACTATTTCAGATAACAGATTATACAGGCGTAAGAAATGAAAGGTTTTAAATTAGGTTGAAACAACCTGAAGTTACAGATTAGAGGAAGGTTTCTAACCATCAAAATAACAAGGGTAAAAAGAACAAGCCCAAACCTGATTTTATGGTGAAACTTAAACAGTTCATGAATGAGATAACATAGTACCTGACTCATGTCCTTAAGAACTAATTTATAAGGAAAAACAGGTTACATATATTTCAAGATTACACTTGCTGGGGAAGGAGGGAGACATAGCTTTCTGAATTCAATAAAATACCTAGTTTATTTATAGAAACACACAGTTACATGCCATTTCAAATTAAGCATCTCTCTTATTAAGTATCCTTGCTTGTGAAGATAACATACAGGAAAGGGGTCTACACTATTACAGTTTCACAAAGCATATTCTACTATTTTTTCAGATGTTAAGGGCAATGAACAGGCTGGCTCATGCTATTACATGCACCTTGACTTTTCCCATCCTTTTACAAATAAGTTTAGCACTAAGCCTACCTCTCAAAGGGAGTTCTGTTTGGAAAACATCATTTATTTTCTTCCTACTAGCAAACAAGGACTATTGATCTGGGTCCCTTAGGGACAACAGCCAAAGTCTCCTGGTATTTGCTCATTTGTTATTGCAGAGCTGGACTTTGATGTACTATTCTGAAGTAGACATAAGATTGCCCCTACCTTTTATGTGATCTTCTATAGAAATCACTTTATCTGTGTTACCCCAAGATCAGGCCCTTAGATATTTAATGATATGAAGCCAACTATTCACTGCTAAACATTAAACAGACCCAATACAGTTATCAATAAGAAAGTTTTGTCGTTGCTTATATCCTTAAAGAGAGTGCTGAGAAGGAATGTCTAGTGCTATTGAGCTGGCAGATATATTCCATATTAGGATACGTACAGCTACAGTCAGTAATATTACTAGCATAATATAATTACATATAATATATGCAATTATATAAAATTAAATATAATTATATGATAAATATAATGTAATGTAATATAATAAAATATAATTAAAATGATTATTTCTAAAATATAATTATCTTCATTGGTTAGGTTCTTAATTTTCTTTGATAAATTAAATTATATTTTTTTCACAAACATTTTAAGACCGTAAAATTAAAAATACTGCCATTTATATTTTGTGAATTTTTACAAATTCTAGTTATTCTATTGTAAAATGATTTAGTCAATCTAATTAAAGTGCTTTCATTGGCTTTCTATATTTTTATGAAGCTATGTACAGCATGTTCATTTACAGAATAAAGAAAAGAGAGTAAAATAAATTGCATATTTATGGTTTTTATTTCCTTCCATTCATATAAAGTGGTGCTATCACAAAGACTTCTTCACCATACTTTTAGCTTGGTATAATCTCCTGGCTTTGACACAGCTATATTAGCCAAATAAAACAAAACCAAACCAAAGTCTTTTCGCTTCCTTTTTTTTTTTTTTTTTTTTTTTTTTTTAAACAAACAAACAAACAGCTTTTTCAAGGGAAAAAAAACCACAACTTCGGACAGAGAGAGGCAAGCTAGAAGAGCTGTACTGATAAGAATTCTTAGGGTGTTCTATAAAGTCCCAAGTAATGAACTTTCACACTACACTTGACAAGAAAAAACAAGAAAAGGTTGGGAATACACTCCAGTATTAAGGGAATCCGCATTTCAGATGAGTTGTCAGAAGTCAGCAGATTAATATCCTTTCCCTGCTATTCCTGTATGCAGTGAATATCTTGCATCCAGCAGACCATCCCAGAACCTTCAATCACCTCAAATATCCCACTGGAATGTGGCAGAAAGGGTTTTTACAAAACAAGATAAATTACATGTTTTTCTTAACATTACAAGATATTCACAACTGTAGACAGGGAGGAAACAGCAGCAACTTTGGGGCAAGGAAAAAGAGTATTTGTGTCTTTAAGGGTTAGAAATATATGTAGTGGTAATAGTTGAAAGAAATGCATTAGTAAGTAGTGCTGTGTAGGTGTCAATGTTTTGCTGGATTGCAGGAACTGAGTCAGTACTGTTAATATGCACTGTTAATATGCATGTCCTCTGGCCCATCAGTTCAGAGGGTTTATGATTTTCCCCATAAAGAGTATGGTGCGGGTGGATTTATCCAGAATCATCAAGAGAAAGGGCCTGTTGAATTTGACTCGACGTGGAGCAGGAATTTCACCAGATCTCCACACAATTTCCATCACGGTGACTGCTGTTGCTTCAGTGCCATTCTCATGAACATTTAACATGGCTTTGTGGATCACCTGCAAAAAGACAAAAAAAAAAAGTGAGATATAGCCTCCATCTCACATCCTGGCAAGAAACAAGTAGCTGCTTCTCCTTCAGCTTGAGTCCTGTGGAAACCAATAAGGATCTGGAAGTGCTCTCTTGGAGGCTGCAATGGTAGGGGGGCAAACTGGCCCCCTCTTAGCTCGTGTCTCACCAGCGTGCCTGGTGGGAGGTGGCAACATGAGCCTCAGGAAGGCCATTGCCTGCTGCTCTTCTTCGCACCACGGCACGCTCATGCTGTCATGTCACCTCTACCAACCAGTAGAGCAACCCTCTTCACAGCGCACGGCCAAGGAACATTCAGGATGATTGATAGAAAGAAACTCTGGAAGTAAACAAACCTGGTCATTTAGTCCAGACTTAGTTTTGCCTTTGGCAACTTTGTGTATTATCATGGGTCAACCCTATCATCTAAGTAAAAAAAAACCCAAAACTTTTTGAGGGCATTAGAAGGTCAGGAATAACATCCTTTTATCCTCAGTAGGATGAATTAGAGGATATTTTACCAAAGCTAATGTGCTACCTTCAGATAATTTGTTTAGTAGTCAAAAGAACATTTAATTACATGTTTGTCTTCTTGCTTGTCCTCAAACCATGTGTGCGTGTGTAACCCCTTGTAAGGGTGGTGGTGGGTAAGTACACTTGGGTTCAGCTTTAGGGAAAATAGGAGTTGCTCAGCCTTCAGACTGAGAGCTGTGGATGTTTGAATATTGTTTTGGAGAGACTTGGATAAACTTTTATGTGGTATCAGTGTTATATTCCCAGATCACACAAATACATATATAAATATATATATCACACAAATCCTGTGAGCTCTGTGTTGCATGTACTGACTTACTTTTGAAACCATCAGTTCAGGCTTCCCAGTAATTCCAGATAGATCAGCTTCTTGAGTGAATAGATCAATCATACCCACTTGTTTGACTATCTTTTTCACATCATAGGTACCAGAAATAGAAAATCTAGGAATGTGCAGATGTATTTTTCTGTAACAAAGAAATAACACAAATACAGAGAAATTGTCATCCAGGTAATGCTCTTGACTGACTGCAACCTAGTGACACTTCTCATTTATCATCCTAAACGCTAAGAGTCTGCTCTCAGGGTTTGAACAGCAAGTCTAACCAGTACAGTTATCTCCAGTAAATACCTTTAACCACCTTTATACTCAATGCTTCAAAAATAGCTACTCGCTTCTAGTTTCACAATGCCCATATGAGAAAAGGGTAAACTAACTTCAGGTTGGTGCTAAGAGACTGGTGGCTGATCCAAGGACTTAATTCAATACAGATCACATTTTCTGGATGAGAAAAAGAGAGGCCTGGACGGAAAGAGACCTGTAAATGAATAGGCTTCTGCCTGCCTCATGTGTTTCACCTTGAGGAGACACATGCTCATAACACAGCCAGCTCTCACTTCCCAAAATCTCTTACCTGTTGCGGAGGATTTTTTCCCATCGAGACACAGTTCTTTTTGAGAGAGCATCTTCCACCTTTTTCATCTTCCCTTCGCTGGGCAAGACAAATAATGCTGCAGCATTTCCATTGTAAGGTATCTCTACTAACCAACAGGACAGCTCTTCATCATAGTAATTCCTGTAGTAACCCTTCCGATACATCATGTCAACTTTCACAGATGTATTCTTATCCACATAAAAATTCTCTTGTTCTGTATTTAAAGTACTGAAGGGTTTTTCCCAGTGGGCTGATGACAAAAAGAAATCCATTTTATTAAAATACCAAGAGTAATTGTCATTGTGAATAAGATAGGTCTAGTTCCACAGCCTTCCCTTTGTTAGAACAAATACTTCTCTTCAAGTTATGCCATCCTCAGCTGTTATTGGCATTGTAGCTCTTTTGATCATGTCCTTAGAGACCTCCACAAAGAGATAAATCCAAAAATATCATATTTTTCTTGAGCATGAGCCTATCATCATGTTAAAAAAACTATTTGTAACAAAGATATTTGTAAAAGTCTCTCTTGGTAATACTAGAAGTAGCAGTCTCTCTCGGACAGGGGAAGACATAGACATTGATGTTGGCACATAGAGATGGGAATCTTTTACAGTAATATTTTGCAAATTCTGAACTTAGTTTGCTCTGTTTGAAATATACAAACTGCAATTTTTTTCCCTTAGGTTTTCCCTGCCTGTGAGCACTCCCTGCAAGCAGAGAGCATCTAAGTTACAACCTTAACACTCCATTTCTTACCTTTGAAGAAGACATAGTTAACAAGAACCATTGCAGTGAGAGGATCAAGATCTTCCACTAACTTAACAATTTTCCCATTTGTTTTTTCCTTAATATAATTGTTGATCTGATTCACAGCACCAGAAGAGTTATTAAAGTCAATAGAAAAGACTTTGGATTCATAGAAGCGTGTGACATCATTCAAGAACTTCTGCAGTGGTTTTTGCATCTCTTCTATAAAAAGGGCACTACCCAGGCTCAGCTGGAGATCACTCTCTGAACAGTTCAGCATGTGGAGGAGTTGACAAAAACCTTCATGTATTTCCTGCTCTTCAGTCTTTTTCAAGTTAAAGGCAAGTCCTTCCAGAACCTGCCTCAGAGTTGCTGCTTTGGCACCAAGTGCCAGCATTGCAAAGGAAGTAGAGATACTTATGGGTGAAAAGAAAATATTTTGATTATTTGCCTCAGATGTGACCAATTTGTAAAATGCAAATGCAAAATCAGCATTGCTGGGAGCTAGATTGAGAAGGGTCTTATTTTTCTCTGGATAAACTCCTTCACTACAAAAACTATGTCCTGGGTAATATGTCCTTTTTGGATCATCCTGCTTGTCGTGGTGATATGGGTGCCGATAACAATGGGCAACAGTACACAGTCCAGCCAGCAAAAACCATAAAGTATGCTTCATTTTCTGTTAAATCCTTTCTGGAAGACACAGAGAACATAGCATGGAAATTAATTTCTTCATCCATGTGTACTCCAGCCAAGTAAAATGACATTCACGGAACACATGCTGTTCTCAAAAAACTTCACTTTTATATTTCATGTTCCTGATGCCAGTAAAAGTGTCTCATGACAAATTATTTATATAATAGCTGCTCTCAAAAGAATTCATTTTGATCACATTAGCATATAAAAATATCATTAGACTGATTTTTTTTTTAAGTTTTCAAATAACTAGGAGCTTATGACCTTTCCCCAGCAAAAGTTGGGAAACTGATGGACATTGTTCTTGTACTTGGCACTATGTGATAGCTACTGCAGTCCTGTAAGCCTTCACCACTTGATCAAATGATTAGAGAGTTAAATTTGTTAAACAAAAATGTGATATAAACACAGATCTTGTTGTCTAGGACCAAAATTACCAAATACTTACTTGTACAATTTTCTCAAAAATAAAATATTTGGCCACAGTGGGAACAAACTCTGTACAGTTCTCTTTGTTTCCAAAATAATTTTTATTTAGCTATGCAAAATATATTCTTTACTAGCAGCCAGTTTTTGCCAGTTCTGGGCATTCACTGATTTTTTGCATAATAGATACCTCACTTTGTTTGCATGTTGAAAGGCACTCTTCCCAGACAATAACATCACTCCCCAAAATGTAACTCGTAAATGATCCAAGAGAAAATGGGAAGGATACTCACAGTGCAACAAGAAGTAGCCTGCAGTGTCCATCTGATGTTGACTGCTCCTTGTTCTGCTCAGGACCATTAAACAGGATTAAGCAGCATGTGCCCATTAATCATTAATGAGTTTGGATAAAGGTTGAACAGTAAACAATAATGACACTAGATTTTCTGGACAATTTGTCCAGCCCAAGCAAACTGCTGGATGGTGGGGAAGAACTAAGACTGTTTTTTGGAGTTTCCATGTTTACACTTTCCTACATGCCAGAGGATGTGACTGGGACTCAGGTGGAACTAGAGGATTTGCATCTTGAAGCAGCATTGCTTCTCAGTGTGTCCTCCTGGGACAGGGCTGAAAGCTACATTATTGGTATTGACTGACTAATACCTGTATTTTTCCCACCTTCACAAAGCCAGGGGAATAGCAGCTCGAGGGCTGAATCAACAGCAGTGCAACAGACCTTCTATTCACATTAACACCTGCTGTTCTTGTCTGCCAGGAGAGCTGCATCCTGTGTGACCAGAGCTAACACTGTGAATCCAAGTGAAGACTACCTGCTGCCAGGTGCAACTCCAGGATCCAAAGCTTCTGGACACAGCCTCGAACTCACCTGTAAGGGAGTGCAGCATCCCTGCCCAGCCTTCCACTGTTGCTGCTCCAGATACACAGGTTAGAGACACTACCAAAGTCATAACCTCTCAGTCAGGGTTTTAAACATGGCAAGCCATCTCCTGATCTATAAAGCCACCTTGCCATACCAAATTTCACAATTGTGACCTTTCACATCATGTTTAAGGTGTGGGGTTTTTCTTTATTCAGGGACAGTAGATTGTGTTTCATTGGTGAATAATTTCCAGGCTTCTTTAGTGAATAACAGCAACTGAAAACGTGGCAGTAGAACCCTAAGAGGCAATTTCAATCCAATATAGCTGTTGATTCATTTCGGTTGGCCATCAGAACTTGTGACTTGCTATTATGGGAGTTGATGAAGTCTTCCCACACGTTTGGTTTTTTGCTGAGGGAGAGAGGTGAAGGGTAGGGAAGCCCAAGGAGAAGAAAAGTGTGGAAGGAAAAGGAACTTTGCAAAAAGTTCACTTCAACTAGAGCTATTCTGCGAAAGACATGGGATATCTGGAGGTGTAAAGTGAGGAAATTAATACTAAATATTCCAGGCCAACAAACTGACAATTTCATCCTGCAATATAGACAAGTTTTAAAAAGCACTTGATGGGTAGGAATATATATATAGTAATACACATAGAACATACTGTGGAGAACTATAACCACCTAAGCCATGATGCTACAAGAAGCTGTCAGAACTGAATTTCCAGGTAATGAATTTGAGTAAGAACTCATGTCTTTAACTCATGAGGAGGAATCCAGGAAGGAACCTAGACAGAGAAAAAAATCCTTATCTGAACTGTAAAATACATAGCAGAAGAGACTAAAGGTGAACTGAGTAAGCTATCTCATTGGGGAGAGGCTGGAACAGATTAGCACATATCATCATTTGTGTTGATATTAACATAGGTTAAAATGTTAATGCATCATTGTGGCTATTGTCTGCATCATGGAATAACAATTCAAAGAAATCACAATGTCCAGCAAGTAATTAATGCAGCTAGAGGGAGGACTTAATTTTCCTGGTTCCACTATGCCAAAAAAAAAAAGATATATCAAAGATAATGTACATAGTCCCTCCTTAACTTCCAGGAGATCCAATCCTTGTTGTCTTCTGCTTTAAGGATATCTTATTTATTACGGTGACACATTTTATTTCATCTTATGTAAGTATTCCTTTCTTGTCAAGATGTTGGAGGGAGAGAGTTTTTTCCCTACTAGTTAGAAATTTCAATGACTTGGAAAACACAGCACACTTCCTTTTTTCAGAGATTTCAAACTTTGAGTTATTAATACTGACAATCCTTTATACAGTTTCCTAGAATGGCACTAATTGGTCCTTTTCACAGCAAGTTCTTCTAGTCTAAAAGCTGCTTCTTATTTCCATTGAGTCTAGTCTCCAGTTTAATAGAAATTTCTCCAACAGGGAGCCCAGGTGTGCTTATTCCTTCCTGCAGGTTTTGTTTCCACTGCCTCCAAGAATTTCATTCTTCGTATACAAATCCAGATAACTCAGTGTAAAAATACAAAACTTCAGGAAACTTTAGCTCAAACTGTGTCATAAACCACCTGCAGAAGAATGCCATCTTGCAGTTGTTCCTGTCAGATAAAAACTTCAAAAGGAGTACATTGTAAACAATTAATAACGATGAGTGTATTTTTTTCTCAGTGCTTTTGTGTAGAATTTCACCATCTACTTGGAAGAGCATTAGCAGAAGCTTGGGTCTGCTGGGCTCCCAAGCAACCCGCTCCTGGATCAGTTACTTCTGGTGTTAGGCTGTGAAAAGCTAAGAGAAAGGGAAGGAAACACATTTTCATTCATTCCTTCTGTGAAAGTTCTGTGAAAAAAAAAAAATAATAAAAAAGAGATATTTATACAAATCTTCCACTTATGAAACAAATGTTCAAAATTTATGTATAAAAATACACATGCCTATATATATATATTCATTGGACTGGAGAAAGATCAACTAGTATAAGCATGACGCTTTAGGCTAATGATGCAGATACAAACCTGGGAGCACTTCAAAAACCATTCAAGTATGTTGTTTAATATATATAAGAAGAAACACGGGCCTAGAAATTATCTTTGAATCCGATATCTAATTATTTCCTGCCTTGTGCTTCTCAGCTGGATGACCACTGGGTCTCTCGCCTGGACAGTCACTTATTTTCAAGCAGCAACATAACCATTTTCCAGACTCCCACCTCACTTAAGCATGACTAAATTTGCCAACAATTTCAAATGTTATGAAAGATAGCTAAGAGGAAGCAAGAGGCTACAAACATGAAAACACAAGCCCGTTTCCTTTGGAAACCAAGGCCGGGGAGTTTATTTTCTTTGCGTTTGAGGCTTTGAGGTTTTGAGTCACGCTTGCTCAGATTTCCCTGCCTTCAGTTCACTTCATTTGACTCCATTTATCACTATCTGTCATTAATGTTTTCATCATCTTTATATTTAGTTAAAAAAGCTCAATATATATATATTACCTTCCAGATATGACATCTCTCCATTTTTAGCATCATTAGCTTTCCTTTCGCAGGAAGAGCTGGTAGACAGTCCAATGCTTGTTGGAGTGATTTAGCAATATAAGAAACAGTTAATGTTTCATAATATTTTACCAACAGACTAAATGTTCCTGATCATTTTGTTTCTTAAAAAAATCATTTACATTAAGCTCCTGTAACACTATTTGTTTGATAGCTAGAACTAGGAGACAATTTAAAATAAATATATACAAGCCTACACTCCTGAAATTCAGCTTTCCTCTAGCTACCTGATAAAATCTATGGAAGAACTATGACAGAATTGCTTTGAGGGAATATTCAACTAGCATATCCAGAAGGGTTAGGTAAAAGCACAGAACAGGAAAGTTATTCACCTAAGTGAAATGACTGGTAAGTATTGTTACCTAGAGCCTATCTTGCTAAACCAGCCATGGTATAGCTCCAAATATAGTCAGTCAAGATTGGAGTGGACCAGTCGTCCTTCCAGTGTAGACATTTGCATGATTTGAAGTGAGAAACTTTGAGCAAAAGCATTTGGACAAGGTGGTTTTTTTCTAACATGAGAAGTGAATTACAGAAATGGAAAACGATGGAATTATACATGTCTAAACTGCCATTCATTGTATACCCTGGACTGAAAGTTGTTCACTTACCAAAGAAGGGTAGCAGACCTAATTTTCCACTGTTTTATTTTTGGTATGAAAATTCTTTTTATAATTGGGTTTCACTAGGCATTTACTTTGGCCATGCATAAATAAGTTTCTGCAGGTGACAGAAAGCATATGTTCATAGGTCGGATTTATCTAGGAGCAGTACATATGTAAGAGGATACGGACACCACATTATTTTCTGTAATATTTAGCAGGGACTGTGCATCACACATGAGTAAACATAGGTCTCTTCAAATCTTTCCTGGACTAGTCAAATGATTAGTCCTTATTCCCCTCCTCCCTTATATTAGGGACCAGAACTGAATACTGTAATGGGCATGTGGGCAAGCCAGGGATTTACACTGTGGTTCAATGTTATCAGCTTTTCTTTTCTAATGCTTCATTTGCCTCCTTCTCCCTTACCAAGATGAACTTTACATCACCTTCCATAGTACCAAATACTTCTAATGGAGGATGGTCAGTTCAAGTATATTATTTCATTAATTCTTTACCTAAAACTTAACAAGAAAAATTAAATGTCTGCTGACAAAGCAGCAGCAAATCAGAACACTACTGCTCTGTCTGACTTGCAAAATGAGACAGAGTCCGTCACATCTATTCTTGATTTTACCAGGAGATGGTGGCACAGGGCTCTTTTTCCGAAACTGCCCAGGACTCAAAGCTCTTTAACTATGGCTTTAGCTGAAGGACGCAGCAGAGTAGAATTACACTAAAATCTTGTCCCTCTGTAGAGGTCTCAAGACTACTTCATTACACCGATATACTAAAATAGTATACACTGGTATATTAACATTTTACTAGAAGGACTCTGGCATCTAGACTGCACCTGCGCTCTTCGAGGAATCTTTGCTGTCAAAGGTGTTTCCCACTCTATCTGCAGCTAATCTACCTCTACTTGATGCCTCTTCTCAACCACCCTTTTTACAGCTCTGAATATGTCGAAATTTGTCAAGACAAATAATTATCCAAAGCTAGATGCTCTCTTTTGCACTCATATACATTTTAAGATCTGCTTTTCATTCATTACATATTTCATCTTCTCCATGCACAGATATTTTTTCTTGCTCTGAAATTCCTTCCTGCCTGCAAGCAAAGTTCTTACTATGGCTACATCACTTAACAAATTAGCTTTTTCTAAGTTGCTTTTTCCTTTCACACATTTTCCTTCAGCAAAGTATCTTCCACCTGGTTCATGTTTCCTACATGAGACAGAATAAACAATACAGAAACTTTCCTTAACAGGATATTTGCACAAGCCAGGCCAAATGCAATGCTCAGCAAATTTTCCATGAGAGTAACATATTGATACTAACAAAGATTTTCCAAGCACAGAGACTAACTTCTTATTTAGTAAAGTAATTGCTAATGAGCATTTTATTTCCAAATGGATTATGGAAAAGATATGAATGAAATTAAACACGAAGGGAAATAAATAAGACTCAGGTTAATTCACTTGTGATTAATTCATCTATTGCAGTAAAACTGAACTGAAAAGCTCTTTTCCTCATGGAAATTCTCTTCTGCAAGAAGCCACAGGCTTTTTCACCAACATCTGTGCTGAAGGGAGTTTGTGTAGCTAGAGTATTAATCATGATCAAGGACATATACATGAAATGAATGAACTATATTGTTTTCTGCTAGTCTGAGGAAAGCACAAATACCACATTATTTAAAAATAATTTCTTTATTAAACTTGGAACTGGCAATTTTCAAAGGATATTTCCTGGTCAGTCTTTGCTGACTGACAGTAAATAAATGACTTCACAGTTCTCTGTGTGTGATCAGTTTAAACCTGCTCAAAGCAGTCTCGTTGGGGCAATGGCAGAAGTGCACTTCCCCACAAGGAAGGATTGAGGGAGGAGTGGGATTTGGAGCCTGTGTCACCGGAGACGCTATGTTGATATTCCTGCTTATTTTCCCTTTTGAGAATTTGCACACAGACTAACTCTAATTCACTATAGCGAATACTTAGAGTTTTCAGTGAAATATTCACATTAAAAAAATACTTTTAAAATCTGCCTAGACTCCTGCCACAGGAGAGCTGTGCTGTGTGCCATCGAGCCTGCTCTGGAGCTTGTGTACAACTCTACTTGACCCTCAGATTCTGAAGTCAAAAAATACCCGGGAACTAACATAAGTAATTGATTTTTAAGAGCTTAGTGATTCTCTGCTTGAAATGAGTGTGAGTATAGGGAAACAGCTGCTCCTTTGGTTGTCCTGAATTTACCGAAAGATTTAGAACAGGGTTGCCTCATGACTGGGTGATTTCCATTCTCTCAAAATAGTAACAGCTATCAAGGACTGAGCTGATGTCTAAATGTAGGGAGAGGGCCAGTCTGCTGAGAAGTGGGTTGAGGCTCAAATATAGCATAACTGGGAATGAAAAAGGGAAAATCCAAAGTATGTGTAGCATCTACACAGCAAGGTTCACATGAGCAAATAGTGCTTCTGTGCTACCTGATTGCTGTGATTTTTGACTTTGTGCTAGTTCTTCTCCTTACTGAAAGGTGGCATGCATGGGACACATACCACATTAGGTCTAAAATCCTACCACTTCATGATCTGTGACAATATATGATCTGTGACAATATATTACATGGATTCTGTCAGAGGGCAAAGCAAATAGAGATTTATTGACAGAAATTGCCTCATTAGCAAACAGAGGTACAGTTGACCGTAAGCAAGGTCAGACAGAACAAACTTACTCTCCCACACACATCTCAGAGGCTGCCAGGAGAAGTCTGACACTCAGTTGTCCTCTCTCTCTCTCTCTTCATGGAGAGACCCTGTCCAGTAGGTCCAATTTCTCTTGCAACCATCAGCTAAGATGCATCCTCTTCAATTAAGCCCTTTTCCTCAAAGTTTCCTGTCAGTCCAGAATGCCAGGGATAGCCGACCCACGGAGTACACCTATCTTGGGTAAGTGACATATTACAGCAGAGGGTTATGTATCCCACTGTAAGCTGTATCATCCCTGTCTGCCAACTGTCCCTGTAGCAAGTTGAGCAGAGAGCTGTAAAGGAGCTTTAATTTTGAGAAAGCTTAATTTGGATCCAGCTATCCCAGAGACTATGTGTATATGTTTAAGCTGTCCTAATCAGGTCTGGTTTTGCTATAGTGGAAGACTGAAGGCTGACAATCATAATATCTAAAGATAAATGAAAGACATAGAAATACATGAGCTTAACACATAGTCCCTGAAAGAAATTTCTATCTGAGTGATTCTTTTCCTCTTCTACCATTAATGCAACTAGACAACAAGAAGTAAAAGATTCCCTATCAAATATAAAGAAATATGAGGGCAAATGACACAGGACAGACCAATACATTTAAGCTTTACTGCAATTAAGACCAAATTAGATCCTAATTAGGAGCTAATAGACTCTCTCTCTTCATAAAAATTTACAGAACTAGGCCAGTTCTTAAAGAAAATAATCAGGAATATGCTGACTGTAGTATCAGCCATATAGGTTTGGTACCCTGGCCCTATGAATTTCTATATCTCTCTTTCCACTCCATTTCCATTCTCTCTTTCCTCTCCAAGATCCTGTCACAGCTCAAGTTAACCTGGGTCTAGAGTGGGAAGTACCTGAACTAAGTAACAACTGTGCTGATGCTCCACAGCCCAGTGCTGCACATCTAGCATTCAAAGGAGCCCTGTAGGAAGCCACAGCTCCTTCATGATATAGCACCAGAGCCATGCCCATTGGCCTTGTCAGGAGATGTTATCCACTTAGGTTCCATTTGTTGAAAGAAAATGGGGAGCGGAGTGCCTACAAGCGAGAGTCTTACAGAAATGAAGGTTTTTCTGAAAAGAGTGTTTCTTATTTGAGTTGGCCCACCGGAATGCACTCCAGTGTGAAAACTCCCATAACAGCTCTCCTTTGTGGTTCCTTGCCTTCATTCTCCTTCCCACTCTCAAAAGCAAAGACTTGGGAGGTAGGGAAAGCAGGAAGTTGCCGTATTTGTTGTTTTCTCAAGCCTTTGCTCTGTCCTAGCAGCTGTGAGATTTTTTCCTAACCACTTTCCTTTAGCAATAAGCCTAGAACCTGTTTTTCTGGCACCCTACTCTGATTAAAATCTCACCATCCTACTTTCTAATCAGTACTGGTACATTAGTTTATCAGGGTGGAATCTCAATCTAGGTTATCCCAGCTCTTGTTGAGTTCATACAGTCATCTCAGACTACCTCACGCCACAAGTTATTACTGATCTCAGCTCTGTAAGAGCCGCTGTTTTGCGCAGAGGCATGGTTCTAGCTGTCCCAGGGATCGTATCTTGCCTCAATGGAAGCAGTAGCTCAGGGCTTCCATGGCATTCTTGCCACATAGGCAATGCTGTGAGGTGCCTGAAAGTGCTTCTGAGTGAGACAGCAGTCTCCAGTTCCCCATGTCAGAACCATAGGCCCACTACTATAGGCATGATAAGAGATAGGTCCCAATAAGAGACCTCTGTGCAGGACAGACTTAAGCTGGGACAACAGTTCAGAGGGTCAGAGAGAGGTCAGAGGTGGTTTATTTGCTAATTAGGGGCAGGCATTGGCTTCTCAGCACTTACAGCCTACTGCCAGAACCACAAGACACTCTTCCCCCTAAACAGGGACCAAGTTTCAGTCACAGAAGAAAAACAACCCTGTGTTAATATGCAATGGTGTGAATCAAAGTGTATGGAGCAACTGCAAGAGCAACTTCCAAAGCAGGAGTCTTGAGACAGCAGCTGGGCGATAGTTTGCTATAGAGTTTAGCAGAACTAAACTTTGAGCCTAGTGCTTGTCTGAAATAGGTGATGTGCAGACCTGTGTGCAACAAGACTGTTTGCAAATTCCTTGAAAACAGATTTTACACTAATGGGCACAAAGGAGAGGATAAGAAGAATCTTCATCTCCATCTGAGAACAGCTAGACTCACTTAACTTAACGAGACTCAGCTTTTCAAAACATATTTTATAGATATCCTGATATTTTAATAAGTGATTAAAAGTTTTGTTGATTTTAAAAGATTTATAGTTTGACAGCAAGAAACTGGAGACAGTGTCAATTCCTAAGTGATGAATTTAAATCATTAAACTTAGTTTATTCATTAGCCATAGAAATAACTCATGAATGACATAGCAGGAGCATTCCTTGACAATTTATGCCTAATGTCAATGTCTTTTGAAATTTTTGGTTGACCTGTGAACTTCAGAGGGAATTTACAGTGCTGTGTCAGAATAATCTATTGGTTCAGAGATTTTCTACTTTTTGTTGTTTTTTTGTTGTTGTTCTTGAATATCCTAGGAAAAGAGTTGGAATACATGAGAAAGAAGACCAAACTGGATTCTCAGTGCTGGTCCAGGAGAATACTGACCATCAGCAAGTGCCTGAGAAAACCTAACTGTGGTAGGTGCACTCTGATTCCCACCACACACACCTCTGCACTTTTGCTGGGAATTAGCAGAAGTGTAACTAGTGGCTGCAAGCAGCTCAGAGAAGCTGAAAGGCCTTGAGACCGTGGTTCTTACTGAAGCTGCAAGGTGGCTACAACGGTGTATGCAATTATCTAACTGCAAAATGTACACTGTGTCACCATAGACACCTGTTGTAGGATGAAAAACATATAGCAGACAAACATGCTGACCATATTCCAAGCTTCCAGCAAAGGTAAATATAGTGACTACATTTCAATCCAACTTGGGTATAAAACATGCCCATAGGACCTTCCAAGTTTTTGAGAACTCTCTCCTCTGGCTGGGGGTTGTGGCTAATCTGTCCATGCACTGTAGCTAATTCTCAAACTGACATGCAAAATGCTAAATTATTTTTCCCTCTCTGTTTCCTTGTTCTAATAAAGTGCATTTTAAATCATCTACCAGAGCATAGCCACTGTGTGTCAGACCCCTTAATCATAAACAGTTGACATAGCCTGAGACTGGATCTAGGTGCACTGGGCTCCTCTCCATGGGAGTTTAGAAAACAAGCGAGTCCTCTCTGAACCTCATGACTCAACAGGAGGGTCTCCTGTGGGAAATTCTGTTTAGCAGTCTTTTAGAAATAAACTATTGCCCAGGTCCAGGACTAAGGTCAATCTGACCTGAAGCCCATGACTCAGTGGGAGGGTCTCCCTTGTTCACATTCCCCTAGGCATAAGCCATTAACCAGATCTGGGACTAAGGTCAATCTGACCTGAAATCCATGACTCAAGTGGAAGGGCTACCTAATCATCTATTCCCTCGATTCAACTGGCAGACGTGATATTGTAACACTAAAAAAATTTTAATGCTGTTTGCTGTTGGAATAGTTCTTGGTGAATAACTCAGAACCAAAAGAGGATTAAAGTCATACAACACAGAAAATTCTCTTACAACAGAAGACTTTGCAAGAAAATTCTCCCAAATTTGGGAAATATATTAATAACTTGAATTACTCATTTGCATATTTAAACTGTCTTTTTTTTTGGAGAATCTTTGTTTGTTCATTTTACACAGAAACTGTTGAGTTACTTGAGAATACCCTACCCCTTGGTCAGACAGTAGTTAGTAGTACTATGTCACATATGCAAACACTGTAGCCCATTATAATTCATCATGTTCAATATATGCAGAGTATGGCGAATAACCCATCTATTACTTCTGAGTAGGATCAACAACTTTGCCCAAGAAAAGTGTGATGCCGGTTGCTTTATCAGAAATGAGAATAGTGAAGGGCCTGTTGAAACTGATGGTAACAAATGGAAGAAGAACTTTGGTAACGACTATGGCTGTGGCTCCTGCAGCCTCAGTTCCAGTCTCATCTACTTCCAGCAGGGCCTTATGAATTGCCTACAGGGAAAAGAAGCAAAAATTACAGTTGCATGTATGGGACAGTAAGCAAGAAGGCAATACAACTCTCTTGTTAAGGAATATTTAGTAGAAGAAGGGATCATTAAAACCCAATGGATCCAATTGTACAATAAATCTCCAACAGCCTGCAACAGGAGTGCCTTTCATGTCAAGACTGAACTGGGAACCCTATAAATGAATGTACTCTAGATGCAGTCTCATCAGTTATGATTGAATGCCTCTGAGTCGCCCCTAAATTTTTGTTATGGTGACAGAGCACTGTAATAGGCTGCTCAGTGAAACTGCGGACTCTCTTTTGGAGATCTTCAAAACCTGCCTAAATGCAACCCTGTGTAACATGTTCCAGGTGATCCTGCCTGAGCAGGCGGGTAGGACTAGATGATCTATAGACGTCCCTTCCAACTTCAGTTATTCTGTGATTCTGTGAGTTGAGTGGAACAATAACAGTCCACGACATATTCTTCACTTACGGCTCACTTAGCTCAACAGTATGTAAAGAAATGTATTCCAGTACCAAGAAATCATAGGAATTCTTGTACTCCTCTCCTATGTATTAATATCCAGCCTTTTAATATTCAAAAAGAATCAAAGGTGGGACAGTAGAACCTCTCCATATAAAGGTATAATTACTAAGCAAGCCAGTGGATGTCACTGAGTTTTGCTTATACCTTGAAGACAGTAATGGTAAAGACATCTTTAAAAGTCCTAGATATAACTGTACCAACAAACTCACTAACACCATCTCTCTCTAGTAACTTACTTGTGAAACCTGGAGATCACGACTGCCAGTAATTCCAGACAAATCAGCGTTACTAGAGAATACATCAGTAATGCCCATTTCCTCCAACAGTTCTTTAATATCGTAAGACCCACTGATAGAAGTCTTTGGTAAATGAAGATTTACTCTTCTGTTGAATAGAAAAAACAAAACAGCAATGAAGCACAGCAACCTTTTTTTTCAGCCATCAGGCTGAATAGTATGTAATGGAGTGATACTTGAAAGTATTCTTTTGATTTCTAAGACATTTGATGGTGGCATTTGTATGCCTTGAGCAATCTGGATATCCAGAGAAAGATGTATTATTTTCTTGTTTCTGTAGTTACTCTTGAAAAAGACTGATTTCTTCATTGTAACTGTTTTTCTCCAGTGCCAGGATACTCATATCCAACATGTTTGTGAGAATAACAGAGCACAGAGATTGGAGGTATAACAGAGAGAGGAAGCCTAAAAGGGAAAAGAATGATAAAATCCAAGACACAGTGAAGAAAACAAGCTACATTAACAGCATGAATGAGGCATGGGAGCCAAAAGCCTGACAGGCAAGTCTGAGTTACTTCTTGGAGTGCTATGTCCATTTATGTCAAGTCAGAAAGCTGGCAGTAGAAAATCAGTTATGCTCTAGTCTTAGGACTAATCTTGGGAATCATTTAAAAATCATTGTATTAAATCCAGGAGGAGATCTGAAATGAATGCTTTCTTTTAAAAATTAACATTATTTCCTAAAATACAATAATTAGGCTATCAAGAGTTACCTGTTTTCAAGTTTGTTATCCCATTTACAAATAGTTTCTTTTGAGAGAGCATCTTCCACTTGTTCCATCTTTCCATCATCAGGCAGAATGAGCAATGCTCTTGCGGTGCCATGGTAAGGCAACTCCACCACCGTGCAAGAGAGATCTTGGTCATAGTAAATGTTATAGTTATCTTCACGTCGCATCATATTGACTCTAACAGATACATTTGGCTTCACCAAGAAATCATCCTCATAGGTAAACTCAGGATCAAAAGCTTTTTCCCATGCAGCTAATGGGGGAAAAGAGAAGATGTTGCACGTCAATATGTGCATCATAAAAATGGCTGATAAAAATAAAACCAACTTCAATGTTAGAGTTTGAGGAGATGTGTCTGGGAGAAGGGGATCACTACATCACTTCAGCCTTCTGCATAACACACAGTGAAGTATTTTACCTGTGCAGTGAGCTCAGCAGTTTGAGTTTGACTAAACCCTATCTTGCTGAGAAACAACCAAATGTTGATTGGGAGAAACAAATACTCCTGCTTCTATTGTTGCCATATGTTCCTATCACTCTCTCATTCCTTTTATTTCGTTGAAATTGGCAGGTTTAAATATGTGGCCAAACAATCTCATTGTGACTTTTCTGCCTTTCCATATTCCCATGTTAGGTCATGTCAGATACAAGCTGACTGGACTCAGTCTGGTTAGGAATTCATCAATAGCATAAAGAACCCTAAAATTGAAGTAGGTCTGTAGAAACACAAGCCTTCAAATTGCTAGGTCGCAGATTTTCAGGCAGGGTACTTCATAGGTCTGCCATAATACTGGAAACTCTGGAAACATAAGGACGTCAGTCTCCTAAAGGTCTGACTGGCACATATGCTCACTATGGAGATCTTAGAAACATCTTTGGCTATGACACCCCAGGCCATAGAGACTGCTCACAGCAGATCCATGCAGGGGGATTATTTTGTCCACAGCTTTCAGGAAAGTTGTACAAAAATCAAGCAATCAGTATTTCTCAATACCACTCTGTTTTTGGTCAAGCCTAATCCTTACTTCCAAGATTCTATGCAATTTAGCTCCTTCCCATACTGTCATTCTAATAAAAAATCATTGGTTCCTTACAGAGTTTTTCTTACCTTTAAAATAAATGTAGTTAACAATAACCATTATAGTATTTCTACCAAGCTGATCAACTAATTCAGGAATTTTTTCCTTGGTTTTCTCCTTTACATAATTATTGATTTGCGTCTTGGCTTCAATTTCTTTATGAAAATTGATAGGAAAAAAATCTGCATCATAGAATTGTTTGGTATTTTTTAAAAATGCCTCCTGTGGTTCATACCCAATAGCTGTGAAAAGGGCATTTCCTATATTTAGTGTGATATTAGCATCAGTACAATTCAGTACTGCTAGAACTTCATGAAAACTTTCATGTATATCTTCTACATGAGCCTCATCAACACTGCCGAAGCCCAGTCCTTCCAAAATCTGAGACAGTGTGCTTGACTTAGCACCAAGAGCCAGCAGTGCAAAGGCAGTGGAAATACTCATGGGAGAAAAGAAAACATTTTTGTCAGCTTCTTTTGCTATAACCTGCTTGTAAAATCTAAATGCAAAATCTGCATAGGCAGAGCCTTGCTTTCCACAGTGATGCTTTAATAAATGTTCTGCTCCATCATGCAGATTCGTATTATTGACTTCATGGCAGACGTCTTCCTCGTGGCAATGGGTTACTGCACAAAGACCAGCAAGGAATAAATACAGGCACAGGAGATCCTTCATTGTCTTTTCAAATTATTCTGTCACAAAATAAACAATCATTAGATGAGCAGAAGGTAATGATGACTTTTGTAAGTCAGTAATAACGAACAGTTTGTTATCATAAATATACCAAGCAACTATAAAGACCTAATATGCATACAGTATTTCAAGTAGCTATGTACACGATTTCAAGTGGCATTAATAAATTCAAAGAAATCATTTATTAAAATATCAACTGCAATAAAACCACAATTCTCCACTGTACCTGCTTAGAAAAACTCTTCTCTGTTGGCTGTGAAAGTGTAGAGCCAAAGAGCATAACAGTCTCTATTAGCAGCGATCCTATCTTCTTGTATCATTTTCTCCTACAGAGTACAGCTAAACAAACAAGTTGCCATGAAGAAAGACAGGGTGTGGATGTCAGAAGCATCAGCTACTCTGCTGTACCTGTCCGTATGCTCTGTGGTAAATGTGAGGTAACTTAAGGTAACTCACTCTTCACTGGAAGTGGGATAAACTCCCACACTTTCGTTGGGATCGAAATACACAGGGACTGTCGGGTACACTTTAAATGCACATCCTTTTTTACTTCCCAGTTACTGAGTCATTGGCCACAACTGATAATTTAGGGAGGAAAGCCATTTGCAAAATCTTGAGGCAAAATTTGAGGCCCAAGCCTGAAGCAGTCTCTGGCATGGCAGCCGTGTACTCAGAGCATGTGGGAAGCGACCAGTTTCTCCTGGTGGAGAGACATGTTGGGAACATCGGGACCTCCCACTGGGGACTGCAGCAGGTCTCTGTGACTGGTTAAGTGGGGCCGAGCTCTTCACCACTTGTTAACCTGGTGACACAGCCACTGCTGTGTGAGGGGTCCCTCTCCAGAGCGGCGGAAGGACACATTCTAGCACAGGCCCTACCTCATATGTGCGTATGTCATGTTCTGGCTGCCCAGGCAGAAAGAGATAGACTCCTTTTCTGCAGGAAATATGAGGTATACGTGTCAGAAATTCCACAGAATGACCTATCAGTGCAACCTAGAGCTTCCCAGGGTTCCAAAATATGTATCCTGTAATACAAAGCCCATTATAAATGGGAAACAACCATGGAGACAACTGAACCTTGCTGCTAGTGCACACAATATGCTACGTTAGCTGGGTCCAACAAGAAAAGTGGGACACAGTTCTAGTTCTGACCCTCTAGAATATTCCTGTTAAAAATGATGGATTTTTTCGCTATGATTTCTCTTAATGTTGACAGGAGGTGCTTCACACAAACCTCCTGCAGTTCATAGGAGATGGAACAAGTCTCTAATTTATTGAACTCAGTTCCCTGTTATTTGAGGAAGCACAACATATAAAAGTTTTATCAATACTTAACAAGCTATCTATTAAGTGTTTTGTTCCTACATCTTCCACATAAATATTTTTCTAGAATTTTTCTACTTTTATGCTTACTCTTTCTGCCATTTTCCAGCTGGTGAGCATTTATAGCCTAATTGAACTCACTCCTTTTCTTCCTGGAGTGTATTTCCACAGGTTGCTTAGAGCAAGCACAATTATTATCCCACAACTTCAGTCTCGCTGAGGTGAACTTGTTATTCATTCCCAGGTGTAAGAGAACCACTATGTCTTCCATGTAAACAAGATCCAGGTAATGTTTCTGATGGCAGCACAAATTCTAGAATTCTTGGTGATTAGCCAACTGCTTTATTTATTTAATGATATAGTGAGTTTTCCTGTTTTTATAGCTGATCTTTCTTTTTTATACAGCTTGTTTATGTAGTGGACTTGTTTATACTAGCTGTATATTCTTGTATTTTTCCGAATTTGAGTACTGAGTATGCCTTCATGAGTCCAGGTAGTGATTACTCTACTGACTGTTCGTGAGAGGGGCTGATGCTAGATTTTAATCTGCTTACCTCAAAAGATGGAGGATAGCCCTGGATAGAGATACAACTACTTGCATATATTTTAAGTATAAGTCTCCTTCTCCCCAGGTTAAAAAAAAATCCTTAAGTAATGCTGTAAATCAAGCAACCACATATATCACATCCTTGATGAAATAAAAACAGGAAGATTTTTATCTGTCTTAGGCAAACCCTGCTACATGATCACTTCCTGTTCCCAAACAGAGCTTAAACTGAAATTTCAAATAATTTCTGAAGCACAGAATATGATCTGCCTATAGCTAATTCATATGGAATGGCTCAGAATTCCACTCTTAATTTCTGCTAGTAATAGATCAGTTCAAAACTTCTCTTAGTACTACAGCCTAGTAGTAGAAATATGAAAGAAGAACTTCGAATAAAAGCTGGAAAACACTGAACATTTCCCCCACATGTTTTTTTTTCTCACTAAAGATATTAAAATAATTTTAACATTTTGAAACTTGAAAATTTTAGACAGCAAAATTTTATAATTTTCATGTCAAAGATGACTGGAAAGATTTTGCTAAATGTGGGATGTGTTTTTAACACCCCAATAAGCAATTCAGAAATTATATCTCTGCCAAATCCACGTATTGGTCTGTCTATGAAAATAAAAGGGGAAATTACATTCAGAAATTGTGGTCTTCCATTCATTCCTTACACTCACCCCAGTCCCAATTAAAGCCCTTGGCCTTGGCAATGGTTCCATTGTTATTGTATATACTCACCAGGAATCAGGTCACCAGGAGAGATTATAAGCAAAAAGATGATTTCATCAACATTCCACATTCCTAATTATTACTTCCCCACAACTTAAAAAAGATTATTTTGAGAATATTTCTCCTAGAAAGAGCAGGTTCCATTGGTCCCTGGATGTTTATTTGTTATTTCATGGCAAAAGTTGCACAGAACAAAGTAACAAACATGCAAATGATACAAACTGAACATGAAAACTCCTCACACCATCAAGTTGAATTCTCTATGAAAAATGAATTCATTACTTACAAAACCTGAAGTATCCTGCTGTGTACAACTCACCAAGCTGCTCTCCACATTGATACTTATACTGCTAAATCATCTGCTTAGTTTCTGTCCACTGTTAAATATTAAACAGAATAGAAAAAAATTAGAGCCACACATACAAAAAAATGGAAGGAACAGAGCAAATATTGTTAAAATAGGGTTTCCAAGTTCATAGTTCAACCAATGGAGATAACAATTGTGTGCCATTTGAACAGTAGAGGTGATGTTATGTTTGTTGCACCCAACCGTTTGGAGGATCTTAACACAAACATTACGCAATCAGAACCCTACTGGAAATTTGGAGTGTCTGGAACCACTGGAAACTGATATTGACACTTGGTGCTAAAAGTCAGATTTTCTGTGCTGAGCTAAAGCACACGGAATGCTGACAGCCGTACATGGACGCTCAACTGTCTTCCAAGTTCTAAATCAGAGCCAAGTCTTCTTCCTGATCCTCAACATGAATATGCACTTCAAGTTATTGCCTGTGCCTATAGGGCAGCTATGCTTTCTTCTTGAATTTCTGACTGTATGTCTTAGTAAGGAGGCTAACATGGGCCCCTCGTACTTCTATTCTGTCTGCACCTCAGTTAGTACCTCCAGCAGGTGCAGGGAGCAGTAGCAGCAAGCTTTTTTCATTATTCCCACATGTGCAATCATGTGCACATTTGCTTCTTTTTCTCCTGGCTCCTCTCCCTACAAACTGAAGTTGTTAGAGTTTTTGAAGAGAGAGAGAGAGAAAAAAAGTAATTCTTGTTATTATCTTTACTCCTATTAACTTTACTTAGTAAGAACAAATTGCTAGAGTACTATGCTGATCGAATTCACTCAAGTTAGCAATGAATACATCTGTTTGTGACCACTATTTTGCTCCCATACTTGTTTATGTTAATGACTTGTTTGTCATTACAAGCATATATAAATGTAGAGAGAGAACATAGACAAACCTTGCCTCAATACTGTGACTTTTTGCCTTCCTCTATTCCTCTTTTTTTCCACTTCTTTGCAGTCATTCCTTCCAATTCTAGTTGAAAAAATTCTAGCTGGAAAATGTTGTGAAAACAGCATGGAGATTATTTTACACATCACATCTTAAATGAGTGGAAGGTCATGGTGGTCAATGACAAACTGTGTTACAGTTAGGTTATGTTTCTTGTTTTCTTTTTCATTTGCCTTGTAATTACTGTTTTGTTTTTAACAACATTTTTAACAACATTAAGCTACGCTTTAACAAGACATTTCCCTGACATTTCATTATGGTTGCAGGAATACAGTGCTGTGGCAACTTTTGTTTAAACTAAACCAAAGAACAACTGCACTTGTGCCAGGTATCCACACACAGCCATGAGCCAATCAGAATTCCACCTATTCACTGACCATAATTTTCAAAAAAATCACTCCATGGCACTGCATTAACCAGACTTATACATGTCATTTATTTAGTGACTGGATCCTGTTGCTCTATTAGTTATTTGTAATAGGAGAAATAATACCAAAATAACCAAACTCATGTAGTTTATTACTTCTGACAATTAAAACTGCACTCAATCACTCAGTGAAAAATTCTACTACAGACTATGTTAACAGCTCACTGGTGTGGCTAGCTTGAACTTCATGGCAATCAGTATCCACTCCTCAACTTATATTTGACCTATTTCATGCATTTAGCACCATATCGTGAACAACTTGTTTCTTTAATTTTGAGCAAATCATTCCAAAAAGTGAGCAGGTTTAAAAACATTCTAACTAACCAATGACTTGTGTAAATGCTTACTGGGCAACAACAGAATCATTCATCTTGTCCGGTGTTTTTCTTCATCTAAATTCAGAAATTTACCTTTGGTGTCAATCTATCAACAATAACTATCCTGAAATTATGGCTCATAGACATACAAGTTATTTAAATATCAAAAAGTTTTATATCTCTATGGGCCTATTATATCATTTTATTAGGCTCTGTAAAGATTTGTAACTGCAAAGTACCGAGACCACAAACACTTTGGCACTGCAGCAACGTAAGTATGAAGTTAAAAAGAGAAACTGACTTCCTCTCTTCTTCTTCTTCTTCTAATTATATTACTAAATTTTGGGCAGGATCACTCGGTAGGAGTGAAGGGAGATTTGTCAAGAGAAAAGATCAAATGTCTCTTTGATGAACAGCCTGGATGAGATATATGAAGTTAAAAAAAAAAAAAGGCCTTATTTGCACTCTGTAGTGTAGCAACAAAAATTACTAAATCTCCTACTGCTGTTTCAGAAGAGTGCAGGTTGGCAAATGTATGACAGGACTTTCAGTAAATCTAAGCCCTTCTGAAGAAGCAGCAGAAGAGCAGCCAGGAATGTCTAAGATTAGAAAACTTTATTCACCTGCCAAGTCATTTTGCAAAAGCTTTCAAAGAGGACTTGTTTCTCCCTACTTCTGTGTGTAACAGCTTGCAACATGGAGCTTCATTTTAGGCCTGAGTGTTTCTATAACATGAATGTTAATAACAAAATCATATTCTGAAATTTTTTATTTTGTATGAGAACATGTTCCAAGAGAGGGTTTTGTGTAAGAACAGTAAACATACTGTTTCCTTTTTCTTTTCTCAATCAAAAATAGCTGACGAAATAATCATTTTGCAATCCTACTGCATAAAGATTTCCAGGAATCTTTTCCATTGACTAGATAATGTTCAGTGTTGAATGGCTTCAGGATGGGACGTGCAACCTTATAACTGAAGCAATAGATAAAGAATTTGAGATCTATTGCCAATTCTGTTGAGCAGCTCTGACTTTAGGAACATTACTAGCACTGTCTTTTGGGCTCTTCTCATCTGTTGAATAAAAATGATGTATTTACTTGGCTCTTTTATTCAAGATGAAATATATTGTGAAAATACATTACTTCTAATAGCCTTGAGGCCATTTACCTTCTTTATTAAATTTAACAAAGACAGGTTTGATATCATGGCCCCCCTCTTGGTGTCTGTGATGCATAGTTTGAAAAACTATGATCTGTAGGATGCACCTATGCACAGCTTCAAAGAGTGAAATTGGAAAATTTCCTTCCTTCTTCCAAACTTTAAAAAAGAGATTTTTTTTTCCTGAGGTGTTTAATAATTGTATTCAAGAGGTGCTATACAGCTATAATAATTCCAGTGTGGCATGTAAGATCATCAATCACAAATAAATTGCAAGTACGAAAAATTTGCATGCATTACATGACATTGTCTGAACCAGTTCTTTTACTGGAATCTTTCACAACAGAAAGAAACAGATATCTTTAAAAAACAAACATATTGGTACTGGCAAATATATTGCCAGAACAAGAATAAGAATGCTGTATGTGGAAATGGAGATGGATATGATTGTTGTATTCACTTTTTCACCTTGCCAGCTGGGATTGTCTCATCTGAAACCAAGCTCCACTTCTGTGTAGCTTTGTGTTTTAAAATCATACTAGTTATCTCTGATAAGGAACCTGAATCCTGCTCTGGCTGTCTAAACAAAGAAAATAAGGACCATCACCCTCAGCTGCAGGTATAAAGCAGACAGAAAAGCTAAGTTTATACCACTGAATGTGTGACTGAGCTGGGAGGGGAATCAGAAACTGTCAAGCCCCAACCCAGTACTGTAACCACAGGCCAATCCTTTCCTATTAATGTTCTTGCAGTAAAGAAAGAAATTAATCAATTAATTGTGGGTTTCAAGCAGTATTATAGTATTTAAAATTGTAATAAGCATATACCTATACTACATGAAAATATAGGTAACAAGAACCATCCCAGTGAGTAATTCAAGACTTAAGCAACATGCATAAATTTGAAAGCCTTCATTAAAAAGTTGTTTTTCACCTTCCCATATGGTTCTTGGTTGCCGGTTGGGACCATTTCATTTGAACAGCTTCCCTTACCTCCTTTATCCTGCTGAGTGATGAGCCTACATTTAACCAAGCAGATGATCAAGTAAGGCTAATCAAAGTGGTTTCAAATAACAATTCCATGACTGAGAAGCTCTACTGCACAAGCACACTGTGAATTTTGACAAGCTCAAAGAAAGGACCCAGAAGGCTGTCTTGCAAGTCACAAAAGCAAACACCATAATTTTTCCCTGAATGCCTCTCCACTCCTATAGAACAGCTTTGCTGAAAATGTGGGTGCACACACAAGTCCACCAAGTAACAAATACAGAAAGAAAGCAAGCTTATTTCAGTTTTATTTTTAATATATGCAATCTTCATTAAGTGTTCTTTTGACCACTACTTTTAACTATGTAAGAAGAATATTTAGGTCAACACTGAGTGACTTCAAAAAATTCTACTCTGAATCTCTACACAAACAAATAAAGAGAGACATTTTTCCATATAATGAGACTTCACAAAAGTATCTCAAGTTAGCTAATTTTAACAGAAATCGGTCAGATTCCTGACTTTTTCGATATAGATCAAAATTCCCCTACACTGAGCTAGGCAGTACCATGCCTGGTGCTGACTCCTATGTACAGAGACCTGTTCGGAGATAACTTTTCTCTGTCATTCCTCACATCATCCACAGTCACATCACTCTCATTCCCTTGGCACACCATGCCTCTCACCACACCAACCTCTGTCAGCTTGGCGAGCAATAGCAGTAGAGCTTTTTGAAGAGCAATGAAGGAAGGCTTGGGTTAGGAGTCAATGGAAGGGAATAATGAATAAATCTAGACTCTAGCAAATGCCAGCCTTAGGAGGCCAAGAAAAGTCGAACAGGTTTTTATATTCTTTAAACTCATTTTTACAAAATACTTGTCTTCTCCCACTGAGCAGAACCAGCAAGAATGGGTCCCGGCAATGGAGCTGCCTTCTGAGCATGTGACTCTGCAGAAAGCTTAAATAGGTCACACGAACATCTAGGTGACAATGTCCTGCTCTCAGGTTCATTAATGGACCAGTGAGAGTTCTTTTTTTTTTTTTTTTTTTTTCTTCTCCATGATGATGCAATGCTCTTAACTAATGCTTTTGGTAGAGCTTAGGTGGGTGGGGATTACAAAAACCAGTTTGAACTGGTCTTCAACCTCTGTGAGTGCTCCAGCTTTCCTACTAATGATGATTGAATTAATCTCTTAACAAACACATTTGTTTTTCTAATTCGCCTCCGCACTCTTAATTACTATAACTTCAAACCCTACACCCAAATACTATAGCACAGATGATATTTAACATCCCCTGCTCTTCTAATATCTCTGAAATATTTAGATACAGCCTTCCTGAAGTAATCTGTGAAGCACAATGGCTAGGATCACCTCATCAGAAACAGAATCCCACAAGCCAGAACAAAGTCTGTCAGTATTCACTGCCCCTTTGACTTAAAGGTGGTAAAATTTTAGAGGCATGGTCTGAACACACTTCCCTTTATAGCTTACCATAAAACCAATTATTTCTAATACTTTTATTGTGTGAACTCAGTACAGAACCAAAGCTAACAAGTTTAGCAACACGTTGAGCTGGGGGATCCACTCTTTGCTTCATCTTCCATGTCGACAGGCTTGTGAGTTGCAGCTTCAGCATCTGGAAACTCACTTGTTACCAGCTACTTGACAATGCTCATAAACCTTTTCTGTACCTGAGAGATTTTCCAAGATCATACAGGTTATACCAAGAAATTCTTAAGTGTCTCTGTAGTACCTTACAGTCTCCACAGAAAAACTTCTCAGAAGTTAGTTGAGGGAGCAACTTCCATTTAAGAGAATAAGAGAAATCAAAACATTTTCAGGGACATATTTTTGTCAGGGACAGCTTTTGTCAGAATTTTCAAACAGAAATGATTAAAATATTTCATATTGAATTCTGTTTTTTAAATGACAAACTATATTTTTCTTCCAGTTTTCAATAACACTGAAAAAGAAAATTTTAAAATTATTTTCAGAGAAAAAAATAAGATTGCAACTTCTTGTCTCAACTTTGGATATCAGCATCTTAGAACTTCTGTCCTCACATACTCTGATATACATTTATTGACAGTAAATTTCCATTTCTTTCTGTCATTTTATCAGCTAGCAACTCAATACAGTCATACAGTTCATTGATAACCAGCAAAATGTGTCACCTCATAATTCATTATATTTCCACATGATTTCTGAATTTTCTGAGTAAGATATGCCTCAGTTTATAGGTCATTAATCATTCAAGTGCCTTCCTTCAGCTTAATTTTAATAGAATCCTTGGCAATCTTTTTTTTTCTAAACTGTGTACCATGTATCAATCAAACTCCTATGATCCGCTGACATATCAACTCTTTCAAATAATTCTTCAAAAAAGGTTAGCTTTTCCCTATTTGGTCATATTTGTCCATGTATGTACAAATCCTACAGTTTTCAAAATATAAATGTTGAACTAAATGATCTGCATTTCAACACATAGTTTATCCCTTAAAAAAAAAGAAAAATAAAGAAAAAAAAATTGCATCACAGTTGTCACTTCGCAATGCTGTGGTACAGAGATCAGGCCAGGTGATATATCACAGTGAAAAGTTTAACATTATTAGCTGCTATAAAGATTTGTAAGTCGTTTCTCAAAGTCATCTTTGTCCTGTATTACTACGTTTTTATACTTAACATTATTGTGGGACTTTCCCCCTAATTCCATCAACACTTCAATTTTCTGATTTTTTCTCTTCCTACTTTTAGTACCTTCCTTTATAGTGTAAACTTGCTATTTTTTTTTAGTTCCATTGTATTTACGTCTAAGTTTTTGGATTTTTTCTTAGGAAAGCAATCTGCAAATAATTCTTCAGAGCCATAGTGTTAAGATCTGGTTATGTCAGCACACTGTTACCTAGCAGGAACCTGCAGTTGTTATAGATTAATAATCAATGAAATCTACAAAGTTCTGTAAGAATGATTAAAAAAGTACTCTCTGTCAAAGTTTGCTATGGAATGACCTAGTGATGTAGTAAAAGAGAAATGAAAGCAAATTGAGTGCATTATCTATTTTAATTTGGCTAGTAAGCTTATTCTAGGTATTAATGTCTATTTTGAATATGTTATCTACTTTATTTTCTTTGTTTTAACACTGTGACTTTATTTGGAGATGGGCACCACTACAAAAAGCTAACAACCTCTATGCACTTTTCTTGTTTTGCTGTCATAGCCTCTTAGAAACTATTATTTAGAAAAAGTATTATCTAAATGGTGGGCTGAATACTACTTAACATAGCTTAATATAAATGCAAGAAGCAACCAGATTTTGTTTATGGAATTAGGCAGTATAAGAAAATGGAACTACAGCTCAAAATACAAGGCTGGTAATACAGCTATTAGAGGGAGTCAAGAGAGAAAAGAACTGATGAGAGACATGGAACTGTACCTCTGATACAGTAGAAAACAGGATGTTGGGTATAGCCTTTGAAATAAGCACAATAGCATTAAAGAAATGCCCAGAGTTCCCAATAACTTCTCCTCCAAACAGAAATAACCTACTATGCTCTGAACAGAGATTTACTGCTTATGTCAAAGCAGGAGACAGTAGAAGGCTATCGGAAGGTTATTAGTGTTGATGGTTGACTAGACCATGTTGGTCTAGTATATGTGGAAAACTTGACACTGATGAAAAACTTACTTGAATTGCATATCTTGGTAACTCTCAGTCACAAAAATAAAATAGCAAAATTAGAAACTTTTAAATGTCATGTTTATTAATTTTCAGTTTTCTAATGTAGTACATTTGTCTGCATATTTCAAGGCCAAAAAAAGACTGCTGTTAATGCTTAATACCCTTTAACAGACTAACCCATTTTAGGCAGTAATTTACCCCTCCTGCAACCAGGTATCAGATATATACCATGAACATGAGCATGGAAAGAAAATACTGATAGATATTTAGAAATGAAAGGGGGCAAAAAAAATGAGAGGAAAGTAAACTTGAGGAAAAAAATGCATTATGAATATGACTTTTCGTACTGTGTATCCTAACAGTGAAAACAGATCCTATAATATTATGACTATACTAACCATGAAGCGGATGAGAAATGAAGTACCAGTGTCATGTTATTGGACAGTCTGAGAACAGAAGGGGTTATGGCAAGAGACACAGTAAATGTCAGAGATGGGATATAAGTACACAAAAATCCCATAAAAATACTGGATTGGTGCTTACTGCTGCTGCAAGTGCTCTCCCAGCGCTGAGAGGTAATGTACAAGCACTATCACAAAGAGAAGATGGTTGATGTTTTCTGCTGCTTGGCATCTTCTAGAAGCTGCTTCAGGGATTGGCATAGGCTAAGGGTCATCCTTTGGCTGCTCTAAGCTGTGTATCTGATTTACAGAGGCCTATTTCAGAGATCTGAATTGCAAAGATCTGATCTACTTCTTCCTTTCTTAGATCCAATTCTGACATGTCTGCCCTGAAAAGCTTTTGGACTGTAATGTAGAGGCCAGTATATATCTATAGGGGGGAAAAAATGCACCTTCTTTAAATCCTTTTGCAGCAGCCTGGATAGTGCAACAGCTGAAAGGCAGGGATATATCAGACTCACTGGACAGCGATGGTATATACCAGGCAGTAAGCATTACGTGTGTTAAGCACTGTGCTAGATTTGAACTTCATGATGGTAGGAAAATGGAGACAAGTAGCACAGTGCCATAACTTGTACCCATTTGTCAGTCAATACAAAGAGAGGTGAAGGAAGAAACAGGTTTACAAAATTCTCTCCACCCACATGCTCCCCATCTTTCCTGCTAGAAGATGCGTCTATGCTGTCAGTATTACGCATATATATCTATTTTGTCCTAGATTTAATGACAATTTTGCCTGAATGCAAACCTCTTTAAAAAATAAAAATAGAAGGCCCCCAAAAACATGCAATTGATGAAGAGTCTCATTTTTAAAAAATAAAACACTGAATATCATAGATTAACAGATGGAGAGCCCTCTGTAGTCATGCTATACTCATTAGGTCGAACTGTGTTTAAAAGTGGTGATCGCTGCATACCTAACAAGTATATCAACTTAATCTTTTTTCAGGGGATTCACAATTTTTCCCATGAACAATATAGAGTTATCCATAGTTATGATCGTTAGGAAGGGCCTGTTGAATGTAATGGTAGCAGGAACGGACATGGGCACTATTTCCATGCCTGTGGCAGCTGCGGCTTCGGTGCCAGTCTCATCCACCTTTACCACAGCCTTATGAATAGCCTGTGAAGAAACAGATATGTTACAAATCAAGGAGGTAGAAAATTAGTTACCTAAATAAAGACTTGAGATAAAAGTGCCTGAATAAGTTATCGGTAAGGAAAAATCAGCAGGCGGAGAAGTGTGAGTTCATTGCAAGTCTTTTTTTCTTTGTGAATTTTGTGAGTTCACAAAGACAGAAAACTTGGAAAAATGAAATAGCAAACTCCATGAAGAATGGTTTCCTTAGCCTTAGAGAGGAGATGTTCATCCCTGGCATAGGGAATATTTCCTTGCTAGAAGAAAATATTTGTTTTATTTCTTATCTGATTCCCTGTTCACACTAGCGCAGATTAGTGGAATTAAAATAAAACTTACAAGGCACTATGTTTAACTGTCTTTGACAAACTCACATAGATCAAGAAATAACAGATATATTAGTACAGTGAATAGTACACTGAATCCTTTTTCATGTTCCTTAATGTCTTGAAACATGGGAACAGAGGAATACTGAAAATATAGTGCTAGGCCAGAGAAGACAAAGTTTATCTTGCAAAATCAAGGCATCTGCTCAGCCTAATTCACTAAATGCCACTTGATGTTGTGAGGCAGTTACTTTGCTCTGTATCAGACAAAGAAATTTGTGTTGCAGAGTGGCTGTGATCATGAGCGCTCTTGAATTATACTCTGTTGAAGTATGACTTAACTGTATCTTTTGCTAACGGCTGGTGCTAATGGGATTCAAGGCAAATGTTTATTAAAATTGCATTTTCCTTTCTCTCAAACACCTTAAAAGCAAATATTGTTTCTCTCCCCTCCGCAAGGCAATAGCAGTGATAAATTCTACTGCTGTCTGCTTGCTCACAGACCGGCAATAGAGGCTGGACACAAATGCAAGCAGCCACAAGACGAATGTAACAGCACACTGCAGGAAGACACCAGAGTGAAGAGATGCACTGATTTGGCTATGTTTATTTTATAAAGTGGCACACACACATCAAAGAGGTCCTACAGATTTAGAAAAATTAGACTTGTAATCTGCTGAAGCTCAACTGTGTTGTCAGCCTAAGTAAATTTGGTGAAAGCTTTTTCTGCATGTCAGAAACTGCCTTTTCATGTGTAGCAAAGCCTTCTACATGAGATTTGCATCATAACCATTTGTAAGGAAAGTGGTGTGTCAGTTATGTTAGATCCAGTATGACTTACCTGGGAAACTCTGTGCTGTGGCTGTCCAGTGATGCCAGAGAGGTCAGCCTTATCAGTGAATACATCCACAACGCCCATTTTATATAACACATTTTTTAGATTATACTTCCCATAAATAGTGAATTTTGGAAGATACACATTTGCTGAGCTGCCAGAAAAGAAGTGCAAGAGTATGATGACATTTTTTATCAGGTATCACACCCAAGAGACAACCCAGTTTGCTTTTATCCCCTAAAGCATACTCTGCTTACATGTTATCTCTAGCCTACATGGGAGGTATATTGTGAGATAATTCTCTTCTATGTCCAGCCTAATGTCTGATTTATTCAAATTTTTGCAGGAAGGTCTGGTGCTTTCTATAAATTAAGCAAAGCTCTATATTTCTGACTCATTTCTTCCTTGCTCTCACAGGAAAGATCTAAGTATTTCTTTCTTAAGGTTAGAACATTTGCAATCAGAAACAGTGTATCTTGAGTTAGAGACTAGTGATAATAGGTAGAGTTTTCTGGTGAGAAACCAAGACAATTGAGCAGCAGGATTCCAGTACAGGCAGATTGTGGAGCACTTAATGAAGCTGGTCAAAGAGCAAGTCATCCAATGTACAAGAGAGAAGGGAAAGGCCCATACCTCCACCTTAACAGAGCACCTCCATGAATCCAACGCCAAGTCTGGCTGGTACCCAAAGATAAGAGTGCTACTAAATTGATAACAGCTTGCTGATCTATCACTTCTACCTAATTTCTGATGGTGCTGATTGCTACCTTAAGTGAGGATGCTACTATCATTGCATCATCTGTCTCACTATTATGTGAATAGACCTATTCACACACTTACTGCCAATAGACGGGAAAGGGAAAGCGATAAGCACAAAGTAACAATGTGATTGAGCAGGAAGCACTAGGATACACTTTCTGGAAGTGAGCAGGATGTTTTCTCCACAATTCAGCCCAGACCCCTGTACAGGCAATACTTTGGCACTATCCCCCTTCCTACAGCCAATGGCAATCAATACACTCCTTCCAATACTGCAACTGGGATCAACTTCAGGCTGCAGATAGAGAAATGTGGGAAAAAAAATGGCTTGCCCAAGACCCTTCAGTCAATTCATTTCCTACATCAAATCTATCTTCAATCTCTCAGGGGCAAAGTCATTTTGAAAGCTAGAGTTAAAAATGAGGAGATGGTGTCAAGTTTGCAGGAGACAGAAAGAGCATGATGAAAAAGGGGAGCTGTATCAGACAAGCTGATGATCTCTGGCAGGGGTATCTTTTTATATTGGTAGTATCATATCTAACATTGGTAACTCCTGGATAAGCTATTCCAGGTTTGGGATGTCAGGGTAGGAGAGGAGGAGGCAATTCATGTTTCTTTAGAAAAAATGTTAAAGTTATTTTAATTCATCCTATATTGATTTTCATGAACAATAACTGCACCTACAAGTTTCCAAACCATGAATCTGCACTGAAAACTATATTTTTTTTCTGACAATTTCTTATGGAAAAAAAGCTTTATATTGTTTTGAAAAGTTCTGAAAGTGGTTCAAAGTAAAGGGGATGTATTACAATGTCATTTTGATCTTCAGTTGAGAACTGATCATCCCTTGTAAGGCACATATCTGTAAAGTTCTTTTATGTAATGCATACATTAATTTAATAATTAAAATTAAATTAAATTTAATAATTAAGCATGTTCCTGTGTTCTCCTTTTTTCCTCTCCTCACCAAAGGCTCCTAGTACACTTGCAGTAAGTGCAAACAGGAATCTAAAATGATTTGAAAATATATTCTTTTTCTGCTCTGTAGTCTCAAAGTTAATTTAAAGTAAGTGTAGCTTAAGGCAATATTGTTTTCCTCAGTGTGCAAACAATATTAAAACAGTGTCTCTGCAATGTGCTAATTCCTCTATACCCTTACCATTGAGCTTTGTCCCTACAGTTCTCAAATGAAAGCTGCTATTCCAACATTACAGGTGCAATTACTGATTGAAAGGTACAAAGGAAGCAACGGCTGAGAAAAAGGGGCTGAAGGAATGTGGTGGAAATTTGATTGTAAATAGGAGAAGGTAAGAAACAGAAAAAAAAAAGAGAGAAGAGAGAAATGGAGGACTACAGACAGAGATAGGAAACAAAACACAGAAAGAGGAGTGGCTTTGGAGTTGTCAGGGTTTTTCTTTGGGCAATGTTTTTTGTGAAAACACAGGGAACACACAAGAAATTCTAGGTTTGGTCAGTGGGAATTCTGCTGCAGATTAACATAAAAGTAGTATTCTGATTGTGTATTCTGACCCAGGAATCACCAGTTAAACCAGTTCTGCACAAGAAACTGCAGAATTTTACCTTTTTGAGACTAATGTCTTCCATCTTGACATACGTGCACAGGACAATCTTTTTTCCAATTTCTTCATTTTTCCTTGATCAGGCAGAATAAAAAAGGCTGTAGCACCTCCTTTATAATCCATTTGTAACACAGTGGAAGACAGTTGTTCATCATAGCCATGCTTGAACAGGCCCATTCCAAACATCATCGGGACTTGAATAACCTTATTCCCATCCATAAAGAATTTCTCCTTTTTAGTGTATTTTGGATCAAAGGGTTTTTCCCACTCAGCTTTAAACATAAGAGACAGAATTATAGGGTATTTTTAGGACAAGAAACAATATGACATATTCATAGATGATAAAAACTGGTACAACTGGATAAGTTTTAGACAAAAACCAGTTTGCAATGAGCACTTAATCTTACTGCATATTCAGAATAATTCAATAGTAACTCACAATAGGAAGAGTGTAATTTCCAAGAAAACCTCTGGTTATTACAGCAAGACACAAGATACTTTATTTAGATGAGTTATCAAGTATTTTTATGTGCAAAGATTATGTATTAATTTTTTTTCTGTGTGACAGTAATTTTAAGGTGCCTATAAAGACCAAATATGTTACAGCTCTTAAATGAGCAGTAAGAAAGATTCTCTCCTTCACTTTTTTTCCACGTCAAAACAGATTTATGAGGGATGAAGTGAGGGGTGAATCTCCTATAAAAATGAGGAAAGAATTCAGATTACTTCCAGAGAAGAAGGGTTTAATGTGCTTCTTTAGTTGATGGCTCACGAAGATGTTAATTCTATGAGGCTGTTGAGTAAAACAAAACAAAGAACAACTCTTTGTGCTGTTACACTCAAAACATTAAATTTCCACAGGCTTCTCGCTTAGTCATAGTGAAATAAACAGTATACATTGAAAGTCTGAAAGGTTCTTATCCTCAGTGGAACTTGTGTTCATGAGAGAAAACAAATCTAATGAACCTCAGAGTATGATACTTTGTGAGCTGGGGAATGGTAAGGGACAGGTGCATTGCAGTGGAGGAATATGTCGTCTGGTCAAGAGACAGGCAAATATTGGCAGAATTCAGTCATCAGGAAAGAGCTTCTAAACTAAACTATACCATAAGAAGGAGGGGAGAGAGTCACCACAACTCTGTAATAAGAATTGTACAGCAGAGAAAGTAGACAAGACTCTTGAAGCACTGACTGATTACAGAGGCACCTGAATTTTACAAAGACTCTCCAGATTAAGTTTAATTCTCAACTTCAAGACAAAAATCCATATTGCTGCTATTAATACTCTTCCTTAATTTGTCCATTTTTAAAAATTGAAAAGCTCAAGCTGAATTTCCACTAGCTTTGAAGAATCTGGGAAATAACCTCAGGTAAAAGAACGAACACTTATCTTAAATAAAACTCCATTTTTAGAATATGTGAAAATTATCTGTAATACAATACAATATCAAGTCTTTCAGGCTCTTGTTACTATAGTGCATCAAAATTTCCCTCTTAACAGTGTAGGATGGTCTACCAAATGTGTTGTTCCTTCTCCTTAAACCACTTTTGAAGAAAGAAAAATCAGCAAGGTTTTTAACCTATTTTGAATTAAATTCCTGATGCCTAATAATTAAAACTCTATCTTGAAAACATTATTGTAGACTATTATTTATTTCATCAAGAGAATTAATAAATATAACTCAGTTTGACTCTGAAAATCTCCACTTAGTTGCATGCAAACCTTCAGAGTAACAAAAGGAGGAGAGATGCAGTTGGAAAGTAAAGTACCACAAAAATCTTGTTTTGCATTACTTTTGGAGAAAATCTAGTATTTGAAAACTTGGAGTAGAAGCATCCAGATTAAAAGAAGAAAGTATTTCTAACAAATGCCTTCTTTGTCTCAAATAAAAAGCTTAATAGTAATAGAGTCTCCTTCTTTGGAGATCTTTAAAACACTTGGATGCAGCCCTGTGCCACGTGCTCTAGGAGACCCTGCATGAGCAGGGGGGTTGGACTAGATGACCTCTGAGGTCCCTTCCAACCTTAAGCATTCTATGATTCTATGATAATAACAAGAAAAATCTAATCTTCTATTAGCCTTACAACACTTGCTTCTCTTTTTCTCATTAGAACAGCAGTCTGCAGATCTCTATAAAAATCTGCAGACTGCATGAGTTAAGTAATAAGAAAAACTTATTGTCAGTAGGCTTGTATTTACTAAAGGGAGTCCATCTCTTCACTGGAAAATACTAGGATCTGCAAATCAAAACAAGAAGGTTGAAAATCTATGCCTTATAAACATCAAGACAGCCACACTAGTATTAAAATGTATTAAAAAAGGAAGAGGACATCAGTGTGAAGCTAAAACTATTGTTATATAATTATCTTTGGATGCATAAGCATAGCTAGTAACAGTAGAACTACCAAGTACAAGACTTATTTTAGGAATGAATAATGTTAAGCTGTATCTTAACAAGACTGTTTGAATTGAACCCCGAACTTGTTAAACTCTCCCACTGAAGTAGAGATTAAATTCATTCCAATTCATTAAAATATTTAAGGAAGTACTTACATCCTAATAAACTATATAGGTCTAGATACTCTCTACTCAGCAGAAAAAAAAAAAAAGAAATACCAAAGGGAATAATTGCCTTATATCAGGAAAATTTGCCTTAAATTTTGTTGAGTTATTATCAGCAGTTCTAATCAGTAAATAACTTTTAGCTCTCTTTTTATAATTAAGTGTAAGTGAGGATCAAAAGGAAGACAAGTTATGATACCCTCTTAGAAACTGTATTATTAAAAAACATTAGTGAAACCCAGGATTGATCCAGGGAAGTAATGTATGAAGTAGGATAATACAATACATATATATCTTACCGTTAAAATAAATATAGCTAATGAGGAGAAGTTCAGTAAGTGGATCAAGGTTACTTATGAGGTCCTTGATTTTCCCATTGGTTCTTTCTGCTACATATTCATTGATCTTCACCTGGGCTTGATCAGCCTTCTTGAAGTTCATAGGATAAACTTCTCCTTCATAAAAGTTTCTGAGATTATTTAAAAATCGATTTTGTGGTTTCAGTTGCTCAAGTACAAACAGCACATTTCCCATATTCACCTGTAACTCTTTATTTCTTCTGTTTAGCATTTGCATGACTTGACGAAAACCTTCCTGTACGTTGTTTTCAGAAATATCACGTGGATTAAGGTTAAGGACCCTGAGAAGCTGTGTCAGAGTGTCTGACCTAGCACCCAGAGTCAGCATCGCAAGAGCAGTGGAGATGCTCAAAGGAGAAAAGAAAATATTCCCATTTTTTTCACGAGAAGAAATCTCTTTGTAGAAACAACAGGCAAAACGACAAACACTCTTCCCTATAGGTTGCTGTAGCATATTTTGGTTTCCTGGGCCTCTTTGATTCTGGTTCCTTGCACCTTGTTGATAACGCTCATAGTAATAACTTTCAGAATGAATCCCAATAATTAAAAGACACAGGTAAAACAACAGCTTCATGTTTCTATAACTCTGTAAAAGAAGAAAAGAAAAATCTTACAAATCTTTTTACTTAATGCTTACCAATAAGTCAAACCCTTCCCAGCATAGAATTGTCTTGGTACCAGTGACTCCAAGCAACCTGACTTCAGTAGAGACAGAATGTGTTTGGACATACCAGCTTTCTATTTCAAGGAAGCAGACTTAGAAAAATTGCTCAATCTCTTGAAGAAGTTGTGAAAGAAGGAAAATTAAGATCAAAGACAAATGAAATAATACCAAAGACAACAGCATTAAGGTTAAGAAACAATTGCTTTGAATCTGTTTGTTTCCAGTGTTCTAATTTTAATGTGGCTTTAAATGAGAAAAAAATGAAAGGTACAAGTATATAGAACTGAGAGAAGGGAGCCAATAAAGGCTAGTAAGTTAGATTTGGGGCAAGATGAAAGATCAAAGCAGAAGAAAGCCACAATATTCCTTCACTGTGTATTAAAGTATTCGACATATTTTTAAGTGGGCTAAGGGTAAAGATACAAACACCACAAATAAAATAAATACACTAGATAATGATGGAGAGATGAACAGTTACCGTCATTTCATAGAGCTTCAACAATTGAGCACCATTAGAAAAAAAAATCTGCATAATTACCCAAAGAGATAAAACTACTTAGAGCAATTAGGAAACTGTCAAGACCCTGGAAATACAATGTTGCTTATTAAGAAAGGGAAAATGAGTATGCCTGCAGAATAGCAAATGGAAATAAGCATGCTTGCTAGCATACAAAGGGCCAGGGCAGTGAATGTACCAAATCTGCTCTAGTTCATTTGGAGGGAATAAAACAAAAATCAAAGAAATCTGAGGAAGTTTGAGAAAAATCTGAGTGTTTATCAGAAAGACAGCCAAGGGTGATTTTGGTAGAAAAAGCAGAAATGACAAAACGTTAAGACAAATCAGTAAAACTCTGCAGAGTATGTGGAAAACCAAAACATCCCCTGCAGCACATCACCACTTTACCTACGTGATCGTTTCTAAAATTAAGTACTCTCAAAGAAGTTACTATCAAGAATAACGTAAGGATTCTCAAAGAGGAAAAATAAGCTAGTTGTCTGACTCGTAATAAGAAGCAAGATTCAAACCCTTGTGCCTTTGTAAAATTTCAGTGCCTCATTGAATCAACAGCTCTCACCATGACCTTTTACTATTATTGCATTCCAAAGACTTGGCTCTCCCAAAATTCAGCAGATCGGAACGCTTTGCTCCACTTTTGCAATTACTACAAATCTTTCTTCTATTATATTTTTTGAAAACTACGGACACCACAATACTACTGTTGCTAAGAAGGCTATCAGTTTCAGCCTGCGCTCCATCCCAAGCCACCTACAGACAGTTCATGTCTAGAATACACTAAAACCGTGTTGATCTGTCTATGGACTGCTCTGGTCATACTTATTTTAATTCTTTTAGCCTTTAGCTCCATTTCCAGCTTTCCTTTTCCTAAATTCTCTAGAAGGTTTTGAGATAATCCTTTGGTCCCCACTTCTACTTCATTTCATGTACTACATTTTTGTTGTTTTCTTGAAGAGACTTATTTCATACAAACATGCCCTATATCACAGAGGATTTATCTTTTTAACTTTAGAACACAATAAAACAAACAAAAAAGCTCTGAAATGCAACTTGAATGAGAATACTTGAATTTCTCAATTTAAATATTCAGAAATTATCATTTCGTATATATTGTTTAATGGTTTTTCACAGAAAAGGATGTATTACTTACTGTAAAATCAAAAGGGTCCTGCTGTGTTCACCAAGTCCGCACAAGTCCTTGCTCAGTTGTTTATGCTGCTGAACAGAAAGCAGGGTATCCTCTAGTAAAGGTTAAGATCATCTAAGGGCCATGACTCACACATTATAATTTAAGAGATTAAGTAGAGCAAACAATGTTGAAACTAGTTTTACTGGACACCAGACTTGGCTGGATATATGTCTTACATGGTTTTTTTTTTTTTTTATTCATGAGTGATTGTCCCAGTTAGACTCAAACTGATTTTACTTAAAATTAACTTATTGCTTGTTGCTATCAAACTTTTATCCACATCTCAGTTGCTGAAATCTACTGTATTATGAACAATAGGCTCATTAACAACAGTAATTACAGCCAAAGATCTTGAACATAATTTTAAATGACTAATGCATTGTTGCCATTAAGGTAGGAGGACTAGTCTTGATGCAGTGGGACAATGTGATTTTTTTTTTTTTTTTTTTGTGATCTAGTCTGCATGTTTGTCTCCTGCATATCCATGTCGGGGCACGATCATCTCCAGGTGAAGTCAGTGATGATTCTAATAAGAGAAGGGCTTAAAATACTGTATTTGCTAACACTTATATTAGCAAAATAAAATAAATTTATTTTTTTACATAAAAGTACCTGATTATCTATTTCTGTAAGAAGAATCCACTGGCAGCACAAGCAGCTATCACGACTCCTGGGCCACTTGCCTGACAGTGCAGCCAGGTAAAAGGAATGTGGCCAGGATGCCATTGTATGCAGGTGATCCCAGTGACAAGAATGGCCTGGGGACAGGGGTGGAAGCCTTGGAACGTGGGAGTAAAATAGAGCAGCCTTTATCCCAGCTTGCTATCTTGTGATCTGGCATGTGGGGAGCAGGCCCCTCTGATCATGTGCCAAGTTTAGCTGGGTCAGAACAGAGTGCTTGGTGTCCTGAGCTCAGCTCTAGTCACTACAATAAACTCCGGTGACAGCTATGGTAAGCTGGCAAGCACAGAATTAGAACATCTTTGAGGCTGGAAGAAACCTCTGAAGTTCATCTAGTTCACCGCCAGCTCAAAGCACATTTGACTCCAGCAGGCTGTTCAGGACAGCATCTATTTGGGTTTTGGCAAAGAATGGAAACTCTGCAAGCTCTTTGGGCAGTCCACAGTCTCTTTGGGGAATCTAAACTGGGTTCCAGTACCTGGCCTCTCTCACTATTAAAAAAAAAAAATTAATTTATTAAAAAAAGAATATTTTTTTCTTATGGTTAAATCACACTTCTTCTAATTTCATTTGTGCCTGTTGCCTCTTGTCCTGTGACTGGATATCACTGTGAAGAGTCTAGCTTTGCCTTTATACTCTTCCCATTTCAATCAGGTATTTGCAACTAGTCTTCATTTCTAAAGCTGCTATATTTTTTTTCTCATCTTCCTTTCAAAATGCAAGCATTTTAGGGTAGAGACCAATCTTTAATATGCACAAAATAGATAAAGTACTCATCTACATGTTTTTTTCCTAAGCACTATAGTATTTTTCTAAGCAAAATACTAACTATAGCAATAACTCAGTAACATTTTTTAGGAGACGAAGATGCAACTGATTGTTTATAAATAAAAGGTTGGGAAACAGAAGACTTTGTGACAGAATCCTGTACTTGCACACTATGCTCTTTAAGCATAGAATTTGTCTAAAAGAGTTATTTTCTCTGCTTCTCTTATATATAAATATCAGGAATCTCACCTAGAACCCCTTTGTAATAATGGGCTATAGTTTTCATAGTGTATAAAAACTGATTTCTGATGAAGGAAGAAGACAGGAAGCCCAATTAAATACAGACGCCATGCTAATGACAAGGTGATAGATGAATGACTAACCTACATTTGAACACACCTAGACCACACCTCAGGACCTTGCAGGAGAAAGGCTGCAACTGAACACAGAAAAGCCTGCCTGCCATTGGAAAGAAAGCAAAGAAAACTAATATAGGATTAATTTACATGAAGAATATGAATCTCCTTACACCGGTGTTACAGAATGTCCAAATTTGTCTTTCATATCTCCCTACTGTCATCTGAGGATTTGATATAAAGGAAAAGGCAATAGTTCCTAAATCAGCTGTATATTTGCTTTTTTTTTTTTTTTAATGAAAAAACTACAATTATAAATGATAAGTTTTATGAACTACAAACAGAATAGCAACTCAGACTTTTTGTTTAATTTTGAAAATGTGGATATTCCAGAATAATGTTTTTGCATGTGTTGTAGACGTGATATTGACAGTGAAACGAGAAATTTCCCCATACCAGAAGCTTTTAGAAAAGTTTTCACATCCTCTAACACTGCTAGCACTGATGGAATTTTTCCTGTGCGACTAATCCCTAGGAAGCAACATTTAATGTTCCATCTACATTTGCTCTGAATGAGTTGTATGGAAAGGTTTATTTCTGCAAAGTTCTGCTCGTTGTTATACCCAGTACCACTGGTAGCAAGAGTAGGGAACTCTACTTCACAAACAAGGCCCCAAAGCCTTTCCTTAGCTAAACCACAGATACCAGGTGTGTATCTACTTTCAAAGGGATGGAAGAATCTCTTAATTTGCTGTCCCATTGAAACTGAAGCACCTCCTTATAATCGTAATTAAAAAGGGAGGTAACAGGGACTGACAAATAAATTTGTAGTAAGTTGCACATTTCTGGAGTGGCCCCTACTTTCTCCTGGAAATATAATAGAAGAGAGTATTCAGTCTGTGTAGTCTGCAAGGTTTGCGTGTATTTGACTTTGGACCCCTGATTCCCTGCTATAACCAAAATATGACTTTTAAAAATGACTCAGAGCTTGAGTAATTTGTCAAAAAATATTGCACAGTAGCACACACAATTGTTAAGAGATGACCTACAGAGATGAAGATGACTCCTCTATTTAGTTACTGAGTTTTGAACAATTCCTTTAGTGCCAGGATCTCCTATTAACAAATCTCTTGCGCTTACACAACAAACAGGGTAAAGAAGTCACCAAGCTTGGTGTCCGAGATAGCTTGGAGTGGGTTGACATCCCAGAAAGCAAACAACTTTACTGTTTCTGTTTCTAGAACTTTCTGAAGCATTTCTGCACTTGGAAGAAAGCATTTCATCCCAAGTGTCTCAAAATGTCAGAAAACCATAGCGGCCATGCAGCCCTGAAAGTCTGACTAGTTGACAGTGTCTGAGACCAGTTAAATATATTTGCATATATTAGCTCCAAAGGAAAAAAGAGAAAAAGTGAAAAAGAGATACTCTGAGACTGAAATATTCTCTTTCCTCAACATCTCAGTTATGTTTCTGAAGAGTTTCCTTAACCTTTCTCTCATCACTTCATGGACATATCTCATGGTCCCAGGATTCCTGTCAAACAATCTCTCAACTTTCAATGTGTTTCTTCTCTAGAGCCCTCAAATTTACAGTTCTAGTAATTACATTTACTCTTCACACACATTCATTTTTAACAAGAGAATGAACATTCTTCAACATTTCCTACATACAGTTAAGGTATTATCTTACCTATCAGTGGAAATGCACAGATGTACATAAAAATAAATAACCCTTTTACAACACCGCTGAGCATTTCTTGAATTAGGTCACTGTCTGGAAGCACAGTAGCGTTCTGCCTACCACTTCCTTTCAGAGGTGAGAGGAGAAGAGCTTTCAGGCAAAGGGCAGAAATGTATGTCTTGGCAGGTCTTTTCCCTCCTACCCAGCTCCCCACCTCTTGGTAAGGTAATATCTCCCCACTTGTTGGTATGGTAATAGGGAAGTCTCCCAGCCATTCTGCTGACAACCTTTCTTCTGCAGAGGATCCATATTGTACCTCTGAGACTTCTCTACCCTTTTGGCTGTTCTTGCTTCCTAGACAAAAGAGAGTCAGGAAACAAGGCAGAAAGAGTGAAAAAGGCTACATAGGAGTTTCACTCTCCTACATACGTCCCACCCCTAAAATTCAATGTCATTCTAGGCCTTCCCTTCTCATGTCCCTTCAAATTCCTCAGACAGTACTACAAGCCTTCCAAGTATCCTATCGTGTCCTCATATAACTATCACAGCCAAGTCCCCTTCAGTACTACTAGCACAGCTTGCCCTCATTTCCACTTCATCTCCTCAGTATTGTGCAAAGGGTCCTGGGAAGAGGGCAAGATGAGGTCAAGAAGTAGGATGCAGTTTGCCTCAGGAGACCTAAAGAACTATCACTTGGAAGAAATCTGTTTACATCTCAAGGCTTCTCTTAAAATCCAGCACATCTCTCCTTCCATGAAACTAGTTCCTTTCCTCCTCACCATGTGCACAGACTCAAGTGGTGATTAAAACTTTGGAATTGCAACTGCAGAAAAACTTTGCGTAGTGGCAAAGTTCAAAGTTTACAGCAACGATCTGATGCACACTGAGGAAATGTGTGATTTATAAATATGGATAAATACACTGGAGGAAAAAATACCATACTTCTGTCTGGAAGAAAAGGCTGTAAATATGTATCATACCCTTGATCTCATCAGGGCAGTGAACTCCCTGGAAAATGAAATGGACCAAGGCAACTCAGAAAAAGCTTAAACATGTCTCCAAGAGCAAAACTGTCGCTGAAATACAGAACAGAAATAAGAGGCAACCTCTCAAAAAACACTCTTCAAACTTAACAGGACATAATTCATAATTCAGGAAGAAGCAATTTTTTTCCCTCCTAGAAAGCTTCAGGTGAAGATTTATTTACATAGGTTGGAAAAATAAAATGATTTTTTTTTCAAATTACTATTTTTCACTCCAGCACATCAGCCTTTAAGTGAAATACTAGAGTTCTACATATGGTCCATTTCACTGGCCAGCAGTTTCAGTAGGTGTGAACTTAAACTAGTTGCAGTTGAATTCAAAAGGTTAAATTCCATTTTCTCCATTCTAATAGATGCAAAAATTCAATTTTATCTTTTTTTTTTTACTGTTTAGCAAACAGTAAAAAAGCAAACAAGTGAACAATGTGGCATGATTTGTCACTTGTAGATATTTAATTTATCAGAAAGCTAGAATGTTTTTAAATTCTCTAAGCTACTGCC